ATTCCTTTCAGTTTTCTGGAACAGAGAGAAAAAAAATCAGGCAACAGAACAGTAGTTAAGAACTGACTAGCTGAGTGCAATGGAGTATGCAATTCAGAGGTTGAAGCAAAAGGATTACAAGTTCAAAGCCAGTCCTGGCAACTTAGTGAGACCCTGTCTCAAAATAAAATAAAGGGCTGGGGATGTGGCTCAAGCAGTAGCGCGCTCGCCTGGCATGCGTGCGGCCCGGGTTCAATCCTCAGCACCACATACAAACAAAAGATGTTGTGTCTGCCGAAAACTGAAAAATAAATATTTTTTAAAAATTTAAAAATAAAATAAAATAAATAAAAGGGCTAGGAATGAAGCTCAGTGGTAGAGCACCCTGGGTTCATCCCGTTTCAAAAACAAACCAACAAACAACAACAAAAATCCCTGTCTCTGGATTTCAATATTATCGTAAGTATTAATGCCCAACTACAGGCATTAATATTTGCATAGTACCCACTATGGGCCAGGCACCTTTCTGGGCACTTACAAAAATGTCTCCTCACGGGGCTGGGGTTATGGCTCAGCCGTAGAGCACTCGCCTCACATGTGCAAGACTTTGGGTTCAATCCTCAGCACCATATAAAAATAAATAAAGGTATTGTGACCAACTACCAAAAAAAAAAAAAAAATCTCCTCACTAAATCTTCATAACATGCCTATAAGGCAGGCACTCTCATTTTATAGATGAGGAAATTGAGGCACAGAGAAATCAGAGTTATCAAGTGGTGGTTCCTACTATGTGTCTCAGTTTCCTGGTCTCTAAAAAGGGAGCAACAAAAAATACTGACCTCTTATGGCTCATGTGAACATTAAATGAGATATCCCAAAGTTGTCAGTGGTTCTGAGTGAATTCAAGGATGGGGTGTCCAAGTAGTTGATCAAGACCAGGATGAGGGCCTTGTTCTACCCAGCTCCCTTCCCGGTGGCGAAATGCAAGCAACATGGCATGCTAGTTCTGGTTCTGACACTAACTGTGAGACCTTAAAGTAGGTCTAAATTTAACTTCCCATAGTTTGTCTCTTTTCTTGTCTTTTACCTGTCTTGCTCACAAGATTGATATATGGGATAGTACACATGAAAGATTTTGGAAACCATACAATAGTGTACAGATGTAAGTTTTAGGAAAGGCCTCAGAAACAAGAAATCTTATAAAAAATCATGTAAAGAAATGAACTATTCAATGGGAACAACAGTGGCTTTGTGCCCCAAATTGTCTAAAAAACTCTCCTCCCAAACCAGATTTGTTTCCCTAGTAGTGGGAAATGAATTGGGACTCACACAAAAGGGCATGGGTCTCCTACCACTGACCTGCATCCCTAGCTCTTTTTATTTTTTGAGACAGGGTCTCATTAAGTTGCTGACGCTGGTCTCAAACTTGTGATCTCCTGCTTCAACTTCTCCAGTCGCTGGGATTACAGGAGTGTGTTACCATGCCTGACATGGTGAAAAGTTTCTTAATGTCCTCTTGACACACTGGTCTTTATATAGATTCCAAAGGGGACGATGCTATAGCAGGAAGCACGATTTTGTTGTTATCTAGCATCTAAAATGCTAGCAACGGATTGAAGAATCTGAGGTGAAACAAATACAACTTCCAGGTCATTAGGGATGATCTTATTTCAGTGTCATGAATGCCCCAACTTTGGAAGCCCATGTGTATGTATGTTCAGTCACCTTGCCTCCTGTCTCTCACAGCATATCCCCAAACTTGAATTGAAAAGGAAGGCATCTGTCCTGGTCTGGGTTTCTTTATTCTAATAGGCTAGGTGGTCATCATCCCATGCCTAAGGATGATGCATAACTGTATTGCAGTTAGAGCACAGGCTGTGGACTCAGACTGCATTCACATCCTAGATTCACATCCTAGCCTGACCACTTTATTTAAATGACACTCAATTTATGGCTCATTTGTAAACTTGAGATACTAAAGCAGTGCTTAGGAATTCTAGGCCAAGTGAAACAATGTATGTAAGGCCCTTCCTGTGATGTCTGGTACACAGTAAAAGCTTATGTTAGACACATCACCACCATCATCATTATTACATTATCTTAAGGATGGATGGAAGCTATCTCACCAGTATGCAGCAGCATATGTCGGATGAGCACCCTCTTGTGGGCAGTGGCAAAGTTGCACTCAGGGCACTGGTGAATTTTCTCATGAGCATGCATCTTGCCTACATGGTCCTGGTAGGCCACTGGGTTAAAGGTGGCAAAGGGACAGAAGGTACAGCGAAGTTCTTCGCTGCCAGGGTGGCCTTGCTTCTTGTGTTTGCGGAACAAGTGCTTGTTAGAACAGGCAAAGTCACAGTGGGGACAGTGGAAAGCATAGTGGCTCTTGTGATGGGCCTCCATGGCTTCAGCTGTGGCAAAGAGCATGGGACATGAGTGATGGCGGCACTCCACAGCCCGCACCCCATGGGTCTCCTTCAGGTGCTTTACAAAGGTCTTGCGATCAGGGGCTGCATAGCTGCAGCCCTCCTGAAAACAGGGCAGGGGTAAAGGCTCTGCTGCGGCTGCTACTGTGTGGCTCTTGAGGTGCTCCTTGAGTGCCTGGCTGAGGCGGAATTCCTCACGGCAGACAGGACAGACATAGGTGTCTGAGTAGAAGTTAGAAATATCCTCATGCATGCTAGCCATGTGGCGGTTGAGTGCATTTCTCTCCACTGCACTGTACTGACACAGTGGGCAGCGGTGGGCCTTCTCGCCCAGCTCCCGCAGCAGATGGGTCTTGAGTTTGCTTTTACTGGTGAAGAACTTCTGGCAGTTGGGGCACTGGAGGGTAGGGTCTGGGAAGTGGAGATGCAGGTGCTCTACCAGATGGGTCCGCTTCTTAAAGCAGCGTTTGCACTCTGGGCACATGTGTGTCTTGAAGAGGCATTCCGTGCTAGAAGTCACATTCCCTGGGGGGATGGAATACAGAGAGGTAAGAGCAATATTCTTCAACAGCCCAGATGCAAACCTTTTGTGGTGTCTCCAAGAACCCAAACAATAGATTCAAAACACTATAGCCTCAAAGAAGAGGGAGAAACTCAAAAGTATTAAGAGAAACCAAAACACAGGGACTTCTCAGGCCTGTTTCAAGTGCTTCTCTCAGTCATCCAACGTTCTTGAGCCTCTCTTTAGAGCAGCTCAAAAGAACAACCTGGATGGACCATTCTTGTTCTTGCCTGCTATAGGTGTAGGGAGAGGTGTCAGGGTTGGATAGAAGGAAAAAAGCTCCAAAGGGAATGAGCAAAAGGGAAGATGATAAAATACTCTTACTTCTGAACCCTAGTTCAATGGGCTCTAGATAATAGTGAGCTGATAATAAATATAGTCAGTTCTTTCCTATTCACCTGACAGTAAATATGCTCCCTATGGGAAGGGTTTCAGAGACTATTGAGGTGAAAACCTGGGAAGCAAAGATTCAGAAAAAAGTCCCTAAGAAGCTCAATACCAGGCAAAAGGGGCTGCTGATAATCAATAACCTCTGGTATCTTTATATTATGACATCACAATTTCCATTTTGCAAAAGAGCTTTCTACTTGAGGAAAACTAGCCTAGAACAAATTCTATTTACCTCTACCCTGTGTTACTGGAATCTTGGGTCTGTTGAACATTTTCCACTTGACTTTTGAGTCAAGGCAGAATAAAAAAAATGATCTGAACCAAAGGTTAGAAACCCAAACCCTAGAGCCTCCATGTCAGCTTCTCAACTATCTATTCCTCCCTACCATCGAGAGCTTCAAGCTTACTCATGATGTCATTACCTTCAAACTGCTGAGCCCCTTGATCATTATCCAGAGCTTTCTGAGAGACCTTCTGGGTGCCACTTTCTTCTTCCTCTACTTCTTCCTCCTCAGCTGACACCTGCCCAGGCACAGTTGTATCTGCTTCCTCTGAAGGTTCTCCCTCTCCTGGAAGCAGTTTGGGAGCTGGAGACATAAAATTTAATGAAGTCCATAGGGAGCCAATAACAGCACTAAATGCTGTATTTCTCCATTTACTGCTTAGCAGAATCACCTCCTCCCCTTTAAGCAGAAGGGAATTTGGGGTTGTAAATAGTTAAGTATATGCCCAATCAAGACAGAGATATGAACTAGGAGTTAAGCTACCAGTAGTAATCACTTTAAAGTAAATCAAATCTCAGATAATAGCAGTCTCAGACCCCCTGAAGCCTAGAGTTTTGAGGTCACTGGGGTCATAGGGACTGAGAGGTAGAGAAGGGCAGATTATATTTCTTTGGTTCAGGTTCCCAGGGATAAGGGCTGGGTTGGCTCAGTGCAGGTGAATATACCCTTACAGCTCAACTGTTCTATTGAGAAATTCAACTTAGTGAGTCAAGACCACATCTTGCTCCTCAAATGTATCCCTTTATCCCTCAACAGCTGACTCAGACTAAAGGTATGACTGGTTCCCAGGAAAACAGTCTTCTTTAGGCCCTAGACCTTGAGTGGATCTCAGCAAGCCAAATTCTCTCATCATAAATCTGTCCTCTTCTGGGCCTCTTTTCTCTCACTTATTTCTCTACTCACCCAACATTGGGGATTTTTGTTGTTGTTGTTGCTATTATTATTGTTTTTTGAGATTAAAGAAATAGGAATTAATAAAGTGCCATTCCTCTTGAAGGTTCCTTTTAAAAATAATCCCAGCTTCTCCTGCCCAATCTCATTTGCTCTATAGGGAGTCTACAGGCATTTGTGGCTACAGCCAGTGGTGGGCACTTTTACTTTTGTCCTTAGAAAGTAAGTTCTGAAATCGAAAATGTTGCTTAAGTAACTTCAGGTCACATGTAGACTAAGCTGAATTTCACTCAGTGTCATGGACCAAGACTTCCTCTTTGTTCCGTATATTCTAAATGAGTCAAGGTTTCTAGATGCCTTTCTATCCTTCTCCAGGAATTCTATCCTCCTGACTTTCTGTTTAAAAAGTCATTCATGGCACTGGAAATAAGTGTGTCTTCTATAAGATCAACTGTGGCTATATTTTAGGCAGGGCACTGATGGATCCTGGCTTCATTCATACCTGGTGGCAGCTCCTGGGATGGAAGGCCCTGAACAGCAGAAAGTTCTCCCTGTGTCACAGCTCCATGGCTCCGCTGATGCTGCCGGAAGAGTTTGATGTTGGAGCCTATGAAGCTGCAATGGTTGCAGTGGAAAGGGTAATGGGTCTGCCGGTGCAGTTCCATGCCCTGATGGCTCCCAAAAAGTAGGGAGCAGCCTCGGAAAGAACATGGCACAGGGACTGCTCTGTGGTTCTGCCTCAGGTGGTGCTGCAGACCTTTGCGATCTTCAGCAGAGAACACACAGCCAGACTCTGGGCAGGAGAAGGTGTCAGGAGTGGCCCGGTGAATCTTGAAGTGGTTCTTCAGGGCCTGTGGTTGGGCAAACTCCTGTCTACATACAGGACATGATAGGGGGCTATCTGTCAGGCTTTGGCCCTGCAGAGGGCCATGGAGGGTGAGGTTGTTGGAGGGCAGTTCTACAGAGCCTGGGGGGCTAGACAGGCCCTGCACAGACTGTATGTGGGTCTCACTGCACTGGTGTAGGGACAGCAGAGTGGGCTCTGCGAAGCTCTGTTCACAGCGCTCACAGAAGTACACCTCCACCACCTTTACCAGGACACCTGCAGGCAGAGGACCGACAGAGAAAGGAATAGAATCAGATCGAACAAGACTCATAGGAGTTGGTTACTAATATAAACGTAGGCGAATCTGTTCATATTCACTGAATGCATATGGACTTCAAGACTGGCTCTGCAGACTATAAGCCCATAGATCAGGGTTAGTCTATCTGGTACATGTGTTTGTATTCCTAGTAGCTAACATAATAACTGGCACAAGATGGGTGCTTAATAACTGTGTTCAATGAATGAACAAACATCAATGTAATCTAGGAAGCATTAAGGCAATAATAGATTAAAAACTTCCAAAAGAGAACAATGACAACTAGAGAGATGTATCTGCAATATTATGCAATATAAAAATATCTGTATGGGCTGGGGATGTGGCTCAAGCAGTAGCACGCTTGCCTGGCATGCGTGCGGCCCGAGTTCGATCCCCAGCACCACATACAAAACAAAGATGTTGTGTCTGCCGATAACTAAAAAATAAATATTAAAAAAAAATCTGTAATAAATGACATATATATGCAGTATCAAATATCTGTAATAAATGATACAGGACTGTCCTACATTTATTCTGTGGGTCCTTTTTTTCTTTTTAATTGTTTTTTTAAAAATTTCAATGCAGGGCTCAAGTGGTAGCATGCTCATCTAGCATGTGTGAGGCACTGGGTTCGATTCTCAGCACCACATAAAAATAAAATAAAGATATTGTGTCCACCTAAAACTAAAAAATAAATATAAAAAATAAAGTTCAATGCAACAATTTAAATGATAAGAAGTATGCAAAGGAATAACTATCCCCATAGTCTGGTCTCTTTTTGGTACCAGGGATTGGCTGCAGGGGTGCTTAACCACTGAGCAACACCCTCAGCTCTTTTTATTTTGAGATAGGGTCTCACTAAGTTGCTCAGAGCCTGGATAAATTGCTGAAGCTGGCTTTAAACTTGTAATCGATCCTCCTGCTTCAGCCTCCTTGAGTTGCTAGTCTCTATCTTTTCAGGCTTTTTTTTTTTTTTTTTTTTTTTAAAAAGATGAGGGTCTTGCTATGTTGCCCAGGCTGGACTAAACTCATGATCCTCCAGTATCAGCCTCCTGAGAACAGGTGTGTGCCACCAAACCCAGTTTCTTCCAGCCCTTTTGTGGTCATTATCCTACAATTTGCTTTTTTAAAAAAATTTTTTCTTGTCTCACTTGCTATATAACAATGACATTTTATCTATCAATAAATCTGTTTCATATTTTTGTCTAGTTCATGGAATTTCAAAACACTGATAAATCAAACCAGTTCAAATAAAGCTTCCCTACGTAACCCCATCCTCATGTGCATGTGTATTTTTCTATAAGACAGATTCCTAGAATAGAATTACTGGGTAAACCTTGCTATGTAGCTAAACTAACCTTCAAAAAATATATTAATTTATATTCGCCATAATTTGTAATTCACAGTCTCACCAACATTACACAAATTGTTTAACTTTTAATTTTTTGTTTAAGGAATTACCTAAATTGTTAAACTTTGCCAAAGTTGAGAAACAAAATGTCACCAACCTTGGAGCTTGAGAACAGGGTCTTGCTAAGTTGTCGAGGTCTAGCTAAATTGCTGAGAGTAGCCTTGAACTTGTGATTCTCCTGCCTTAGCCTCTTAAATCTCTGAGACTACAGGTGTGCACCACTGTGCCCAGCTCATATAGTTACTAATTAATTTATTTTTTGGATACTAGAGATTGAATTCAGGAGCACTCAACTACTGAGCCAGATCCTCAGCCCTATTTTGTATTTTATTTAGAGACAGGTTTTCACTGAGTTGCTTAGTGCCTCTCTTTTGCTTAGGCTGGCTTTAAACTCATGATCCTCCTGCCTCAGTCTCCTGAGCCACTGGGATTATAAGCGTGTGCCAATGTGCCCAGCCTCATATAGTTATTTTTAACTATGGAATTTATTTATGTGAGATTAAGCATCCTTCATACATTTATTGACTATATTTACTTCTTATTTAGCAAAGAGAGGAGAAATTTCTTTTTTGCTTTCTTGAAAACTATTTTTCTTATTGTGCAGATCTTTGAATTTAAAAGATATTAACTCTTTTTTATATATTACCAATTTTTGTTTTTTTGTTGTTGTTTCACTGCAGAGAAGGTTAGAAATACTATATGGTCAAATTAGCCAATCTTTCCCAGTATTCTTTGTCACTACATTACATAGCCAAGGAAGTGGTAAAAACTACAGCTAGAGGATGACAGTTAAAAAATAGGTAAGTTTCAGAAAAATAGGAAGTTGTAGGAAAAGGGGAAGAATCTTTCTCCTAGGATAAAAATGCTCAACTGTAGTTATATTTGTAGTACTTTTGGGGACTTGAACCTGGGGCCTTGAACATGCCAGGCAAGACCTCTACAACTGAGTTATATCCCCAGCCCCATTTTTAATTTGACTTTTGAGTCAGGGTCAACAAGTTGCCCACATGGGCCTCAAACTTTCTTTTTTTTTTTTTTTTTTTTTTAATAGATTTTTAAATTTTATTTGTTTATTTATATGTGGTGCTGAGGATCGAACTCAGGGCCTCACACATGCCAGGCAAGTGAGCTACCGCTGAGCCACAACTCCAGCCCCTCAAACTTTCAATCTTCCTGCCTTAGCCATGTGTACCACCTTGCCCAGCTCAACCCTTCCTCTTAACATGCTTTGAATGAGTGAAGTACATTATACACAGGAAGTTAAGGCAAGGAATTACCAGTTACCTTTGGAAAGCCCTGCCAACTACAGGGTGGGAGGCAGGCTGGGCTTTTGCCTAATCCCTGGCTGCAGTTTCTGGGTGTAAGGTCAATATGGGTAAAGAATCTGTGAAGATTGTTAAGAGTAAGGGCAAGCCAGGATCGGGCAGGTGTCAGAAAGGTCTTCCCTTGTGGATCCTGCCTAGCAGACAAAAATCCCTTAAAGGACAGACTTTGCCAAAAGCTTGGTTCAAGATTGTGCAGTAATCTGCCAGCCTTCCATCATCGGGCTCCAATTGCAAACCAAAATACAACATCTCAAAGTATAAAAATAGCATACTATTTTATGCTCCAATCATATTCATACAGAAGGATAAAAATAGAACACACAAAACCTCAAGGCTGCCTGTCCCACTAGCCTGCTAGCACTCTTTGTACCTGGGGTCTCTTCAGGAGCTCCTGTGGATAGGGTTCCAGCTACTGTTTCCACAATGATCTCCATGTTCCCTGGGCCCTCTTCATTAGCTGTGGCCTCTACCAGCAGGCAGTCTGGGTCAGCAGGCAAAGGTGCAGTGTCCCCAGAAGGACAGGTGCTCTGGACAGGTCCCAGAATTCCACGGTCAGAGAGAGGTGGGGGGATCAGCAATAGCTCAGGGCACAGTCCATCCATCTCCACAGTACTGTTGGCTGGCTATGAGTCCAACACAGGGTCTGTCATCACCATTGATTTGTATGCTGTGGCCTCTTAAATGCTGACAAACCAACAAAAAGAAAAACAAAATGTGGTTAGAGCTCCCATTTTTTTCCCAGTTTGTGTGTGTACACAGTCCAGTGCCCTCCAACTTAGGCATTTTCTTTATGGTACCATGTTCAGAACAAAATGTATAAAAATAATAGGGTCAATGGGCTGGGGTTGTAGCTCAGTGGTAGAACACTTGCCTTGCATTTGTGAGGCACTGGGTTCAATCCTTAGCACCACATAAAAATAAATAAATAAAATGCAGATATTGTGTCCAACTACAACTAAAACAAATTTTAAAAAAATATAATAGGATCATAGGGTTAGAAATGATGGTGGAATGTGATGGCCATTATTATCCAAAGTACATGTATGCACACACGAATTGGTGTGAATATACTTTGTATACAACTAGAGATATGAAAAATTGTGCTTTACATGTGTAATAAGAATTATAATGCATTCTGCTGTTATATATAAACATTAATTTAAAAAGATTTAGTTTACATAAAAAATATATGTATAATAGAGTCAATATTAGGAGAAAGCCAACAAGTTTTGGCCAACATAAGAAACATATCAGGTTATGTTTCTTGATACGAAGTGAGTCAAATCTTAAACTAAGTTTTAGTTTTCAAAATTGGGTGAGGCCAAAGGATTTCAAATGCCCTTTCCTTTTTTTTGGTACTGGGGATTGAATCCACAGGTGTTTAACCACTGAACCACATCTCCAGCTCTTTAAAAAAAAGGGTCTCACTGAGTTGCTTAGTGTCTTGCCAACTTGTTATGGCTGGTTTTGAACTCACAATTCTCCTGCCTCAGCCTCCTGAGCCCCTGGGATTACAGGCATAAGCCACCATGCCCAGTCCTCTTTTGCTTCTTGATGCTCTCATTCCTCAGTGAGGTTATAGGGCCTTTCTATCACAATCTGGTTCTTGCTGATTTCTCCAGGCATGGTTTCCACCTCTGCCCTCAACAGACCTCTGAACCTGATGATGTGCCATTCTCTGGAGGCACCATACTCTCTTTTATTCGCATACCTTTTTATCTCTCAGCTTGATGCACTTTTTCAATCTCTTCTCTGGCTAATCAGTGCCTTACTGTCCTTTAAGAAGTAAAGCCACTGATTAGCCATGGTTTCCACCTCTGCCCTCAACAGACCTCTGAACCTGATGATGTGCCATTCTCTGGAGGCACCATACTCTCTTTTATTCGCATATCTTTTTATCTCTCAGCTTGATGCACTTTTTCAATCTCTTCTCTGGCTAATCAGTGCCTTACTGTCCTTTAAGAAGCTACACAGGGCTGGGGTTGTGGCTCAGTGGTAGAGCACTTGCCTCAGCGTGAGGCAATGGGTTCGATCCTCAGACCACATAAAAATGAATAAAGATATTGTGTCCATGTAAACTAAAAAAATATTTTTAAAAAGAAGCTACACAAATGTCATTTCCATTCTTAAGACTTCCTGACACTCTTTTTTTCAGTCTTCAGGGGTCCTGATGGTACATTGTACATATCAGAAACTCTGTCACGCTGCACTATTGTTTCTCTTCCTGATGTGGAACTTTCTGAGTAGATTTTACTGACATCACTTCAATGAACAAGTAGATACTAGTGAAGAACCACTGAGAGGGAGGGACATCAGAGTAAAGTATATTGTACCAAGGTATGAAACCAATGGTTCCCCACATAAAGAAACAGCAAGAAATTTCAAACTCATTAAGGTCTCAAACTGGAATACAACCAAGAAACCAATAGAAACCAACTGTATATCCCGTTACACACGAATTTAAGTCAAGTAATTTTTGTAATTTATATAATGACAATCATTTCATGAATTTGAGTCAGACTCAACTCAAAACAACAGATCACAAAGGTGACAGGGAGGTGCACTTCCGAGGTCCGAAGGAATATCTTTGGAAACCGGCCTCCGCTTGCTTACTGCCGGTTAACGCGGCTCTGGGAGATCTTCCGGCTCGGCAGTACACCGCCTCAGGGGAGAGACAGGAGGACTTGGCGCTGTCTACGCTGAAAACCTTCACCAGCAGGAAGGGGGGGAGGGTGACAGGCGCGAAGGGAATCTGTCTTCCGGGCAATGGCAGGGCAGTGAGGAAAAAGAAGGTCAAATTAAGGGAGAGGAAAGGCTTGGGGAAACAAGGAGCCACTAAGTATACGGGTTCCCACCTGCCGCTGGGCGGACTCACCGCGTGGCCCCTGACAGATGCAGTCGCCACGCTTCTCTGGGCCTCAGCTTTCCTCTCTGAAAAGTGGAGGCGATGACAGCATCCACACTGTTGGACGGGAGCTGGCGCACAAGAGCCACAGAACGGGAAAGATGTTTTGTAATCTGCAAGGTTTGGGATGGAGCACCACCATGACTGTGGTCCTGAGGAGCGGTAGCGGGTACCCGGGTGGGGTCCAGAGTGGTGACGCGGCTGAGGCGCCGAGCGGCCGCTGAGATGCGCCGGGGCCCCCCTCGTAGGCGTGTTTCTTTCAGCACCTCCTCCCTCGGGTCCCCACTGTCCAGGTCCACTTCCATCCTGGAGCTCGAGAAACTTTTGCCTCCAGCTCTCTCCACCCAAACTCCCCCCAGATCCCGCTTCGCAGCTGCTCACTCACCTCTAGACCCACAGCCGGCAGAAACCGCATCTCTATGGTCGAAAGCGGCTGGAGCGACCTCCCATAGCTCCTTTTGTACTACCGCCCCCGGCCCAGCCGCCTCTAGGACGTCGGGCATATGGCGGCCACTCTATCTACCTCTTGTTGGCTGATGGGTACTCTATGGTTTTCTCTCTTCTCTCCACCTTTTCCCTGAAGCCAAAGGAGGACCATCGAGAGTTGTGGGGCAGAGTGGCAAGAAGTTCTTGGTAGGCGTGGCAGGAAGTAGATTAAAAAATTCGGGGGGCGGGACCGAACGGCGCTTCCCCAAAGTTCGGCTGGGCGAAACCATCGAGACGAAGGGCCAGAGAGTCATGGCGGTAAGGGGGTGGAGTGACTGAGAACTCCAAACCACGTTCCTGGAGGCTCGAGCCTTGGTGTAGAGAGGGATTCCGTAGGGTTTCTTGGGTGTCTGGACCGCGAAAGAGGAGAGCTTTGTGATCTTCCATGGGTGTTTTGGAATTCTGGATCCCATTCTGAGCCTTAACCAAGGTCCCTGCTGTCAGTTCGCTGCTCTGCGTGCCAGGGGCAGGGCAAAGTGGCAGGAATGGAGTGAGGTGGGGTGTCGGAAGAGTGCTAAAAACTATTTGGCTTCCCATTTTCCTGGCGCTGATAATTGAACCCAGGGTCACTTTACCACTGAGCTATATCCCCAGCCCTTTTTTGAGACAGGGTTCTTCACCAGTTGCTTAGGATCTCCATAAGTTGCTGAGGCTGGCCTTGAACTTGGGATCCTCCTGCCTTATCTTGCCGAGTCGCTAGAATTACAGGTGTGCGCCACTACTGCCGGCTTTATGATCTTGTTATCTACAATTAGACCTAGTCAAATCTTATTAGGTTGAATTTGGGAAAGACTCCATAGGCGAAATAGCAAATGGGCAGGATTTCATTTGGGGAAAATGCAGGGAGAATTGCTTGAGGAAGGAGGTGGGAGGTTTTGCTTATTTGTTGGATAAGGAGTATTAAGAGTTAAGCCAAGAAAGGTAGGTGGGTGGCTGTTGTGAAGGGTTTTGAGTACCAGACTGAGGAGTTTGTACCCAATTCAGGGATCTATTGGAAACCAACCACTGAAAGTACTGGAGTAGGGAGAATTCTGATCCTTATGATGAACGATCTGGATCTTTGCAGCTGTTTGGTGATACAAGAGTTGAAGATTCATTAAAATGCCACTTCCTGAAGTAAAATTTAATTTTAAAGGGAAAGTTTAGGTGGGAAGTAATAAAGGTCTCAACTCTAAACAGGATATTAGGAATTGGATGTGTGGGGGAAAGAGAGGGTATTTGAAGAATGTTATTCATGCATGGTAAGTAGAGCATGTAGTCACTGACAAGTTAGTGGAAGCGCCACTGCTGCTGACTCCAGCTAGTGCCCCCAACCTCTGACTTTAAAAAAATTCTCAGCTTGTTCCATGGACCTCAAAAATTCTACCCATCCACTATCCTGATGTGAATCAGGTAATATTGCTCTCTCGAGCTTAAGGAATTTCCAAACATGATCCTCTGACCAGAAAGCAGGCTGATGGGAGGACAAAATGGAGTAAAGGGTCTGCATTCCAACACTACCCCTACCCTGAAAAAGGATATTGAAACATATACTGTTGACCTGTCCTTGCTACTTCTGGAGAAGGGAGTAGGGCAGGTTTGGGGACATACAATGGAGTCTGATTCTAAACTAATTTTGTGCTTTGTCCCATCTCTACCCCTAGGTTTCAATAGGGCCTGAGAGCCTGTAAACTTCTTTCCCATTCAAGATGCCACTTTCAGACTTTGTTCTGGCCCTGAAGGACAATCCCTACTTTGGGGCTGGATTTGGCCTGGTAGGTGTGGGCACAGCCCTAGCCCTGGCCCGAAAGGGTGCCCAATTGGGCCTGGTGGCATTCCGGCGCCATTACATGATCACACTGGAAGTCCCTGCTCGAGACAGGAGCTATGCTTGGTTGCTTAGCTGGCTTACCCGCCACAGTACCCGTACTCAGCACCTCAGCGTGGAAACTTCATACCTTCAGCACGAGAGTGGTCGGATCTCCACCAAGTTTGAATTTGTTCCCAGCCCTGGAAACCACTTTATCTGGTAAGACTGGGAACCAGGGAGGGCTCTGATATAAGATTAGAGAGCTGGATTTTATCATTTTCCTTCACTCACCCCATTTTGACCATTCTTATTCAGGTATCAGGGCAAATGGATCCAGGTAAAACGAAGTCGAGAAATGCAGATGATAGACTTGCAGACCGGGACTCCTTGGGAATCTGTCACCTTCACAGCTTTGGGCACTGACCGCAAGATTTTCTTCAACATCCTGGAGGAAGGTGTGGGATGGCATAGGCAGGCTGTAATGGGGGGTGGGGGGCTATAGGGATGGGGACATTGGATATTGGAGGAAGAGCAGTTTGGGGAGGAAGAATAAGAGGATGTGAGTCCTTGGGAGCATGGGGCTAGGAGGCCTTTATTGCATAATTCTGTCTAACTGAAGAATAGCCATGTTGGAGAGAATTATTGGCATTGTCTTATCTCCCCTTTTACAGCTCGAGAGCTAGCCTTGCAACAGGAGGAAGGAAAGACTGTGATGTACACAGCTGTGGGCTCTGAATGGCGCCCCTTTGGCTATCCACGCCGCCGCCGGCCACTGAATTCTGTGGTTCTACAGCATGGTCTGGCTGACCGAATTGTCAGAGACATCCGGGAATTCATTGATAACCCCAAGTGGTACATTGACAGAGGTGAGAAGTAGCTTATGTCTGGGATAGGCTATTTCTAACCATATTGTTTTTTTGTTTTGTTTTGTTTTAAAGAGAGAGTGAGAGAGAGAGGGAGACAGAGAGAGAGAGAGAATTTTAACATTTATTTATTTTTTTCTTAGTTCTCGGCGGACACAACATCTTCGTTTGTATGTGGTGCTGAGGATCGAACCCGGGCCGCACGCACGCTAGGCGAGCGCGCTACCGCTTGAGCCACATCCCCAGCCCTTTCTAACCACATTGTTAAGGCAGACAGGCTGGTTTTTGGCCAGGAATGATGTAAACCTCTAGCTCAATTCCCAGATAAGAAGGGGCAAGAAAAGTTGCCTATGATTTTTTTTTCATACCAAGGCCATCAGGCCAATAAGAGGCACAGCTAGGAGCAAAGTGGACATGTGGGACAGGGTATATAATTCACTTTAGGTCTTATTTTTCTTGGCTGTATCCCTAGGTATTCCCTATAGACGTGGCTACCTGCTTTATGGACCCCCTGGTTGTGGAAAGAGCAGTTTTATGTGAGTAGTCAAAATTTCACTCAAGTCTGCAAAACAGCCTTTGTAGAAAAACTGGGCAGAAGAGGCTGGAGAGTGGAATGAATCTGGGGACCAGGAGCCAGGAAAAGCATGTGATATGTGGAAGGAGTGGGAGAATTGGGCCTCTGAGATACACCTCCCACAACAGAAGGAAAGGGTCTGGACCCAGGAATAGTCCCCAAGTTGCCTACCACCTCCTCATGTTCACAGCACAGCCCTGGCTGGGGAACTGGAACATAGCATCTGCCTGCTGAGTCTCACAGACTCTAGCCTCTCTGATGACCGGCTCAATTACCTGCTGAGTGTGGCCCCACAGCAAAGTCTGGTGCTCCTGGAGGATGTGGATGCTGCTTTTCTCAGTCGAGACTTGGCTGCAGAGAGTAAGTGAGGGTGTTAGGGAAGGGGGATGGTTCTCAATGAGGATAATGAGGTGTAGGAGTATGAGGAATGGGAGGACATGGAATTCAACAGGGCTGACAGGATGCCTAGGTTGGCTGTGAGGCACTAGAGTCAGGGACTGTGGTGGGAATGGAGGAGGTGCTAATTTTAAGCAAGGTTATGACCATGCTTTTCTGTCTTTTCAAGACCCTGTGAAGTACCAAGGTCTAGGTCGTCTTACCTTCAGTGGACTGCTCAATGCCTTGGATGGAGTGGCTTCCACTGAGGCACGCATTGTGTTCATGACCACCAACCATGTTGATAGGTAAGGAGTGAGGGAAGAATCCATTCCATGTCTTGGGAGAATTAGGAAGTTGAGGAGACCATCATTTTTGGTGTGCTAGTGCGACTGTTGCTTGTGACTCTCCTCCTAGGCTGGACCCTGCCCTGATACGCCCTGGGAGAGTAGATCTGAAGGAGTACGTGGGCTACTGTTCACACTGGCAGCTGATCCAAATGTTCCAGAGGTTCTATCCAGGGCAAGCACCTTCTTTAGCTGAAACCTTTGCAGATCATGTCCTTCAAGCTACAACCCAGATCAGTCCAGCCCAAGTGCAGGGCTACTTCATGTTGTATAAAAATGACCCCACAGGGGCAATTCAGAATACCGAGTCTCTGAGGTAATCAGCCAGGCTGTGCTGGGCTCTCCTCCTAGAGGAAATCAATAAACACTTGCCATACTACTCTGGTCCCTGTCTCTCCCTCCCTCTCTCAAATTAGTACTTAATACAAAACGAAGGGCTGCAATCACAGGGGACTATATAAGGGTTAATCATTCCAAAACCTATACAGATGATGTGGGGTCTAGCCTAAGAGAGGAGGAAGAGGCTCTAAATCGGAAGATACGTGCCTCCATCTAAGGGCATCCAAGTGAGGAACATGTATTAACATGGTCGAATACATAGTGGGATTATGGCTCAGAGGTAGAGTGCTTGCCTAACATGCATGAGGCACTGGGTTCAATTCTCCAGCACCACATAAATATAAGATAAAGATATTGTGTCCACCTATAATTAAAAAATAAATATTAAAAAAAATAATACACAGTGGGTTATGTTATAGTGCTTTCTAAAAATTCCACCCAAATGTCAACCTCTGAAACTCATTACAGTAGAGGAGCCGAACCCTTTTCACCCTGATTTCTTGGGATAATTAAGAATGGAGGTAGGGGCTACACTGTCATACCCCAATCTTGCTAGGAACTCAGAGAGTCATACATTACAGGTTAGACACTACTGAGAAAGAAAACGAACAAGGCTTAATTTCTTTATTGCTTCCCACCCACCCCCAATTCCCTGTCCCCCCACAATAGTGCTAGGAACCATCTTCAGATTCCAGGCCCAGAGGCTCCCTCAGAGTACCAGGCCGGTATGCTCCCTGACCCCGAGGCAGGCGAGGGTAGGAAGAACCCGCTGTCCGGCCTTTGGAGCGCTCCCAGCGAGCACAGTCCCGAGTCCTGCGGGGTGGGGGACCCTGCCAGCTGCCAGGCCCCTTCTCTTGGGGCGGACCTTCAACCCCTTGGTTACGGGATTCCAGCTTTAGGTCCAAAGGCTCTTTGAGGGGCCTCTCAGGAGGTGGTAGTTCCTGGGAATCACTGGTACCTTTGGGAGCACAGCACTCCCCTCCCTTCAGGTGCCTCCGACTAGGCTGTCGCCAGGGGCTTTGACTGGACCTGGGGGGATCTAGAGTAGCTTTCTGGGTCTCACCCAACCTCTGTTGATTTGGCCCAGTCCCTGGGAACTTCTCACACGTATACTGGGTAGCCATAGAAAGAGGAGTTGGCAGGGTTGGCTGGGCAGCTGGTGAGTTGGACTGTTCTGTGGCAAGGGCATTAGGTGGGTGGGATCCTCTGGAAACATCCACGGCTGACTCAGCTTCCACAGGGGCAGGAGGCTAGAAAGAAGAGACGCACTAAGGGAGATGACGCTCCTCCAAACAGGGAACTTCAGGCTCCTCTCCCACTATTAGCCAGCTACCACCAGCCTGGAACAACTGAGCAGAACACCCTAGGGCCATGGTGCAGGGGCATTTGTAGGAGGGTTGGCGATGTTGGGCGACAAATAGGAAACCCTTCCCTTACCTGCTGAAGGCTGATGAAATACCGGTTCCGCTCAGCCTCAAGGTCAATGATGCCACCCCGTTCCTGCTGCCTCTGATAAAGTTGTTTTAGCTCTTCCTGCTGACGCAAGTTCTCTGCACTAGGTTGGTACAACTCCTGGAGGAAGGAAGCAGAAAGGCAGGAAAGAAAGAACAAACAGGAAAAGGCAGCAGACTTGAACCTCTATTCTTTCAGGTTGGCCTCAGGAGCTAACGACACAAGGTTTTTGATCTTGTCCCTCACAAGCCAGTGTAGGCTTGTGGTTTTGCATACAGTCCTAAGCAGATCAAAGATCCCATTCATTGGAGACAAGATGCCCTCCCTCCTGCCTTACAGAATGCCATCATTCCTGGCTCAGATTAGAAGGGAATCCCCTTACCATGGGTTGTTGGGGCTCAGGAGCTGCTTTCAGTGATGCAAGATCATACACGAGAGGCTCTCTGCACACAGGACACTGCACACCAACTGCTTTCTAAAACAAGAGGAGAAATCACACCAGCTTCCAGCCAGCCAAACTAATATGCAGAAAATTGGGAATAAAAGGCACAGGCATACCTATTCGGCAATGAGGGGGAACAAAGGAAGGACTTCCCCGAAGAGGTCTGGGGACCCCTAGAAATTGCATGCAACATATAAGTATACATAAAGATATCCTTTTTTCTGGACAGGAGTAAGATTTCACTCAGATCAAAAGTATCCATGATTCTAAAAAGATGAAAGCCATTAGAGCAGAGGAGTGGAAATAGTTGCCAAAGTCTAAGGGTGTCAGGTGAGACAGGCACTGGCCAGACCTACCTGTTTGGTGGCAGCATGCTGCCGTTCCTGTTCCTGCTCCTGTCCTTGAGCCTTCAGCTCTTGCTCCATGTGTTGGATATATCGAGCAAGACAGTGGCAGTGGAAGTAGTGGTAACAGGGCGTTTTGGTAAAGGCTTCCTTGTCCTGGAGGAGGCACAGTTGTATGATACTGCATTAGCACTCACTCAGAATCCTCATCTGCCGTAAGCACATCCCAGGCCCCAGAAACCTACCTGAAAGCCATAGAGACAGATGACACACTGGCCATGGGGGATGTTGTTATCTGTGAGAATTTCTTTCCCTTTCTGAGATGAGAGAAGACAACATGGAGGCAGGGACAAGAACTGTGAGCAAGGCCTGCCTTCTACTTCCAAGAGTGAGTGGCAAGACTCCATGTCCACAAACCAGCTTGTTGCCCTGTGTTTCTTCATTCCTGTCCTGTGTTACCTCGTGTTTATGAATTCCTGTTCTGGTCCCTTTGCTTACAAACAATCCTCCATATCACCATCTCTCCCTGACAAACTGGATCTTCCTGGCTTCAAATTCCAAGTTAATTGTTTTAAGATATATTAAAGTCACTTTTAATATATCTTGGAGAAGAAAACAATATACCTTGGAAAGAAAAGGCATTAAATTAAAACTCATCTTCTGTGAGGCCTCTTTTATTTATTTTTTGAGACAGGGTCTGGATAAGTTGTCCAGGCTGGCTTTAAGCTTGCACTTCTTCTTCCTCAGCCTCCCATGTACTTAGAATTACAGGCATGCACAACCACAAGGGAGGCTTTCTTGATTAACACTCCTTGATTATCACTCCCCCATGGTGCCATGAGTTTGTTCTAGAGTTGGCTGGAAGAAAGTCAAGGCACACACAATCCAGATGGACAAAAAAAAATCAAAAGGCATCAATTAGTCCATAAAATATGCATTTGCATCATTATGTGAATAGCTAATCCTCTGGAATTTCAGAGTTCAAAGCTGCATTGTGGAGGCCTGACCCAGGAGTGCCATAGTGGTCTAACATGCCCACTCCCTGACACTGGGCCACCCACCTTCACTCTGTTGTGAATATTTTTCTCAAAAATTCCAAGTAGAGGAAAACAAGCTTGACCTTGATTGTGTTTTTAATCTTAAACAGGGAAAGTTATCTGTGTATATTAATTTGGGGCTCTATGTGTTGCAATGTATAGATTGTTTCCTTAACCAGGGTACAAAACAGACTGCAATCCCCCTGTCTTAGCTTACCCAATTGTTGGGATTACAGCTATGCACTATGACATCCCACACAAAACTTTGAGCAGAAAAACCATAACTTTTTCTTGTCAAATCCAATGGCGGGCTGGCCTTCAAATGTTCACTAATGGTTAACCTGCCCAGGAAAGATCCCCATCTTTTCCACTCACAGTTGCTAGTGCCAAGAAATCAAGAAATGCAGTGAAATGAAGCAAGAATAAAGGCAGCTAAAGAGGAAAGGCACTTTTCTGTTGAGATGCTAGAATAGACAACTTGGGTAAGAGTTATCATCTTTCTAAATTAATTTATGGCTTACCTAAATAGAGTCCCTTGGGGAAAAAAATGGCTGTAGTTTAAAGGGAAGAACATTTTCCCAGGCCAGCACACCTTACCTCAATTAGTTCATAGAGCATGGCAGTGCCCAGTCCTGCTTTGGCCACGTGGCCCAGTGCTTGTGAGATCCTGGAAGAAAGAGAAGCTTATATTAGGCCTGTCCTCCTCCTTCACCAGGCAAAGCTGTGTGCTGAGCTTCCCCTGCTAATGACCAGCTCAACTTACTTGTGGATCTGCTCATCTGAGAGTCCTCGGGGGTTACGGATAGATATCTGTGGCACCTCTTGGGGATACTAGTGGGGGAAAGTAACAAGTTACTGCTAAGGCAATCCAACTTTGGGGACTCTTCCCTTCCTTCTTGTTTTGTATAGTAAGAGCCTCACCTGCACTGGGACCTGAAGCACCAGAGTAAAGCAAACATACTGTGAATCTTGATCCTCTGCAGTGGCAGGGTGCAGAGTGATGAAGATCTCCCATGGTGAAGATCTGCAGGTGGATGAAGTGAAGACCCAGGATGTAACAGAGCAGAGGCTTGAGGAGAGGAGCAGGGTGAGACAGTAAAGCAGGCAGAGAAAGTGAGCATTGGACACTTTCTTTTGAAGAAATTAAGGAACAGCCTTTGTCTACACAAGAGAAACATTATCTCTGAATCAAGGCTCACAGTGTCTTAAGACCTGATTATGCACAGAATCTGGTCATTACTAAGAGGATTCCTATTCACCCCTAGCTGAGTACATACCTGCCATTTCCTTTAATCACCTGTAGTTCATCCAGATAGATAGACTCTAACACTTCGACTTCAGAGGGAAGGACCCTAAAAAGACATGGGGAGACTTACTTACTATTACAGCTCTCCCTGCCAAAGCCTGTTAAAGCAAATGAAGGCTGGCTTTGTAGAGAAGTGGCTATTTGCTTGATAGCTTTCTCTTGCTAAATTCCTTAAAAATAAGAGAAAAATGTTTCCCTACATTGTTGGTGGCCAGGTAGGAAGCTTGGAATCAGAATCTTGGACATCATTCATGTTAACAGACGGGATGGAGTCCCAGAAAGTGAAATGACTAACCAAGGCTTAACATAGGCAGAACTGGGACCAGAGCCACATTTCCTGACTCCCTGATCAAGTTTCATTCTACAGTTGAATATCCCTTAGTGGCCATCTCTATGATCCAAATATATGGCATCCATCCATTACTAACACAGTTACCAACACTAATCCTGCCTTTTGCTACATCATTGTTCAGCCTGGATCTCAGTGTCCTGGCTACTGTCTAAATATACTGCCAACATCAGTCACTCCAAACCTTCTCTAAGGAGATACTAACATGAACAGAACAGCTCTCGGTGGTTTAAAGGCTGTGTTGTAGGAGAAGAGTCATCAACCTTAGAGTCAGTAATATATACCAATCACTTATCAGCTATGTGATCTGGGTAGTCACTTATTCCTGTAAGCCTAAATTACTCTGTCTACACATATATATAATACCACCTAAACCAGAGTTTTTGTGAAGATTAAAGGTGATTTGTTTATGTAAAATCTCTTATAGTGTCTGGGCCATAGTAACTAGACTAAGTCCTCTTTTCTGTTTGTATATACCCTTTTCACTTAAAAGAAAAGTGGGAATAATATAGTCAGTAGATATGTTTATAACCTTAGCTGTCTGGTTGACCTAGATCAGCGTAAATTAGGATCATGGTTCTGATGTAAATCAGAGGACACAAACTTAGTCACAGAAACAGCATTAAGTAATGATACTGAAGATGAATAATTTAAGTCCACAGCTCTATCCAGGTGAGAGAAGGAAAGACACATGCTTTGTTCTCTTACATATTGTTCCCTCTTCACAAAGAGCAGGGGTGCCCTAGCATGAGCTATATCATAGGTTCTTTATTATTACCTTTTAAGCCTTAGGTAGAAACTTCAAAATATAAAATTATAAAGTGTTACATCTCACAGATAACGGTGGAATAGTTCTGATTGATATGGGAGTGGAAGTTTGGGAGTACCACAAGCTGCTGAATTCACTAATGGCCTCTCACAGTCCAAGGTATCCTCTCAGAATCTCAATGTTCTCCTCAAACACTGAAAACCACTAATCTAGATAGTCCTAAAAAAGAATGGCCAGTGAGGTTTAGCCTAAATTAATGTAACACTGAGGTGCAGCCTCAGTCAAGAGACAATTTTAACACTTCTCCCACTCTAGCTGTGTCTTGGGTCCTAGATACCAGGCACAATATGGGATGGTGGTAAGGTGGTGTCAAAAAACAGGGGAGAGGGATGGTAGAGTGTCCTAGTACTAAGAATATGAGATCTAGAGGATATAGAACTGAATTCCTAGTAGTAATTGTGTACCTGAGGCAAATCACTTCACTTCTTTGGATTCATCAAGTCTCCTCAGGTCCCACACCTCAGATTTACTAATGAAAAAGGCTTTTGTATCTTACATATCCATAGTGATCCTCTCAACTACTCTATGAAGTAGATGCCACACCCACTTTTTTTTTTTTTTCTTTTGCAGCTGAGGACACTGACTCACAGAAGCTTGGAGGCCTGGTCAGCATCAGACAACTAATAAAATGTAGAGTGAACCCACATTTATCCTGTTTCCAAATCCCAAAGCCCTTACAGGTTCTGGTCTCTTGTTGAGAATGCTTGCGAGAAGGTCTAGGGAGGTATTTTTGTAGGTTATAAGGTTTCTCTCAACAACAGTCCTTATTAGTGCTGCCTGGGAGAGAAGGCTGAGGAAAGCGTAGGTGGAAATACGTTGAGCCAAGGGGCAAAGGGGCCCGGAGCTGAAGGACATCAGTTCTGGAAGGTGGGGAGATTTGATGAGCAGGTATGCACAGACCCCTGAGAAAATTCACTTCAGGAGAGAATGGGAGGGGTGGGACCGAAGGAGGAGGGATCAAGTCGACCAGGGGGGGCATCAGCTGGCCCGGCCCGAGCCGACCCAGACTCCCCTCACTTAGATCAGCGCCCCTCACCCTCCCGTTCCCAGTCCAGGAGCTCGCCTAGGCAGAGGTGTCAGCATCTAAGGCATCCCTTATCCCTCGCTCCATCCCAAATGCCCCCCGTACGGACAGTCTAGTTCTTCGAACCAGATCCAGGCAGCCAGCCAAAGCCCATGACCCAAAGTTACCAGTCCTCCTCCCCGGCAGCTGCCGACGCTGACGCCGCCATGTCTTCTCCGGCCGGCAGCCGGAACCGGAAATACCCTGGGGAAGTCGGAGGCGGAAAACTGAGGCGGGTGTGCTGCTACCGTTTCTAGGCAACCTCAGACTCCCCGTCCTTAATGGAGCGGGATGGCCAAGCGACAGCTTGGAAGTGCTCTAGGAAGTGCCTATGGAAGGTCCACGTCCCTCCCACACCTCTGAGAGCCTTTGTCTTCTGAATTTTGGGCCAGTTCTAGCGAGTAAAATTGGTAAGAATGGGGCCCGAAAGAGCCTGGCAGTAGGCCACGGAGAAAAACTAGTTAAGTCAAGCCAAAGTAAGGAGACAGGCCCAGGGGACCAGGCTGGAGGCCGCCACCGGCGCCTCCCGGACTTAGCGCTCCTATTTTTTTTCGGGGGGGTTTGGGGGAGTTTGAGAAAGATGTCCGGATCAGTGAAATGCACGGGCAAGTGTCCGGGGCAGGCTGCCTAGGAGTGAGAGGTAGGAAATTGGGGTAGGCTTGAACCAACAGAGTCCCGTGGGCTTGCGGGACAGGAGAGTAAAAAACGGGGAGGAACTCCAAGAAGATGCTTCGTTTGTTCCAAGATCCCATTATCTTTCTATCTACTCCACCCGACCGTGTTTTTGAGGCCCGGATTAGTGTGAAAAAGGCAAAGGCAAAGTGGCTAACGTTTACCTTTCCCCGTGCCCGAACCAGGCCTCCCAGATGTGTGAAAGTGACCCTGGATCTGTAGCTCTTCAGCACCAGAACCAGGCCTCCCAGATGTTTGAAAGTGACCCTGGATCTGTAGCTCTTGAGCACCATCGCTACCTTCTTTCCTGAGAGATCCTGAAACCTTTGTTATGGAGAAGTACCACGTGTTGGAGATGATTGGAGAAGGCTCTTTTGGGAGAGTGTACAAGGGTCGGAAAAAATACAGTGCACAGGTGGTGAAGAAAGGGATATATTTTCAGTGGGATTCGGTATCCACAACTCCAATGGAATATGGGGCCAAATGTGTTTAAACCAACCTGTATTCCTAAGGCAATGACTGTCACATTTCTTATGAAGTATGACCACTAAAGTTGGGTTATGTGGGTTCAGATTCCAGCTCTACCACTTTCTGGCCTTGAAACGAAGGACAAACTACTTAACCTCTGTGTCTCATTTTTCCTCATCTATAAAATGGGTATAAGAACTTATTGATGAGGTTTGAGGACTAAATATGTTTTTAGACTAAATCCCTTAGTGCAATGTTTGGTACCTAGAAAAAACAAATTATTATTATTATTATTATTATTATTATTATTATTATTATTATTATTTTAGTAAGCCACATCCCCAGCCAATTTTATTTATTTATTTATTTATTTTATTTGTGGTGCTGGAGATCGAACCCAGGTCCTTGTGCATGCAATACAAGCACTCTACCAACTGAGCTATATCCTCAGCCCCCCATTTTATTTTTTATTTTGAGACAGAGTCTCACTAAGTTGCATAGGGCCTTGCTAAGTGGCTGAAGCTGGCTTTAAACTTGTTGTCCTCCTGCCTCAGCCTCCCCATATTGCTGGGATTACACTTCTGGGCCACCACTCCCAGTTTATTATTCTTAATAGTTTGATCTATCATACCATTGCAGGAAGAGACAAAACACCTGAACTATTTTTCCATCTTTATTTTGCCTTCACTTTTCCCTAAAATCTCAACTGAAGTCCTTTGGTTAGATCAGAACACCTTTCTCAGAATCCATGAATAGAATCTGTTTAGCAAAGGGTGTCTCCACTGGGTGCAGTGGTGAAATGCCTGCAATCCCAGAGGGTGGGGAGTTCAAAGCCAGCCTCAGCAACTTATCCAGGCCCTAAGCAACTTAGTGAAACCTAAATAGAAATACAAAAAAAAATGGTTGGGGATGTGGCTCAATGGTTAAGTGTCCCTGGGTTCGATCTCTGGTACTGAAAGTGTTTCCTCCTAGGTTGAGGGGTGGGCAAAGCTTGGGCAAGGCCAGCATACAATGGGGTAAGAGGTGAGAGACTAGCCAGTGTAATAAGAGTTGCTCAGTCTAAGGTCTTAAGTTCTGGACTTCTGAAGTTAAGGTTGAAATCCTAGCTTTTTTTTCAGTAGTATGGTTAGTCCTTGACTCTTCCCTTTACCACTGATAGGTGGTGGCCCTGAAGTTCATCCCAAAATTGGGACGCTCAGAGAAGGAGCTAAGGAATCTACAACGAGAGATTGAAATCATGAGGGGCCTGCGGCATCCCAACATTGTGCATATGCTTGACAGCTTTGAGACTGACAAAGAGGTGTGCTTTCATGGTTTTGGATCACCTTTCTCCAAGGGTCCCAATAATTTCCTAACCCCAGAATATATGAGCATTCCATTAGTGACGCAGCCTTCTCCTCACAGGTGGTGGTGGTGACAGACTATGCTGAGGGAGAGCTTTTTCAGATCCTGGAAGATGACGGAAAACTCCCTGAAGACCAGGTATGTTTCCTGGATAAAACTTCTCTTCACCCCTGACCACTCTGTCAGTGAAGGGCTGGGAGGGCAATTAGAGGGCAGGGAGAGTCTCCATTTTTGAAAACTCCCAAGAAGAATACAAGAGTCTGTGTGTATATAGAGGCAGTATGACATGAGAATTAAGTATGTGAACAGTGGAACCAAAATATCTGAGTATGAAGCTTGGTTCTGCCTCTCACTAGCTGAATCTCCTTGGACAAGTTAATGGAAGTAATATCATATCTACCTGATAAGACTATTGTGGAGATTAATGAATTAATTCACATTAAGTATTTTAACAACTATTGTTAATGTTGTGAAGATTTTTATTGGGTATCTTTGAGATAAAAGGGGCTGTGTGGTGGCACCAGAGAAGGCAGTGAGAGATAAGGGTTGTGGGTCAGGCAGGATGTGCCACTAGGACGTAGAGTTTAGCAGCCGGATTTGGTTGAATGAAATCTTCAGTCAGATTCTGTAGGACCCCCTCAGAATTACTTATCACAGTTCTCTTTTTCCTTTTGCGCATTCATATCACTGTTTGAAATGTCTTTTTCATTTCTTCTTATTTTTATGTGTGACTACTTCTCTTGAGAAAAGATACTGTCTTATTTAGTAATAGCTAATGTGTGTTGAATGTTTACTCAATGCCAGGCACCATTTTGAGCAGTGCTTTACACACTTTTATTCATTTGGTCCACACAATAATCTAGAAGATAGGTGATATCATTATTCTCACCTTATAGATGATGAATCTGAGAAGCATAAAAAAAATTTGCCCCTGGTCATACAGCGAGTAAGTGAGGTTCAATACATTTTCCTTGAGTGAATGAATGAATGAATGAATGAATGAATGAATACATGCATGAATCAACTGGGGAAGCAAAAGCTGCCCTTGTTCTTGAACAAGTAAACTCTGGGAGAATGGGAAAGAAGAAAAAATCACATTAGTGGCAGTATTAAAAGTCTTTGGCTTGTCAGCCAATCCTTCCCTCCTACCTTTTATTTTTTCATCCTGCCTATCTGAACCCTAGGTTCAGGCCATTGCTGCCCAGTTGGTGTCAGCCCTGTACTATCTACATTCTCACCGCATCCTACACCGAGACATGAAGCCTCAGAACATCCTCCTTGCCAAGGGTGGTGGCATCAAGCTCTGTGACTTTGGGTAAGGATTCTGAACTTCTGTCTATGTCTCTAGTTCTGCAAGGGGTCTTAGACTGTATGTGTAACTTACATGAACTTCCCTTGAGAACCTGAACTAGAGACTGAGCCTCCAGCTGGATCCTTTGGAACTAAATCAAATGTACTCTCTGTTCTGGCTTGAGATAAATCATACAATGACAGGTAGTAGTGAGCAGGTTTAATTTCCTATTAGTGACCGGGTCTAGAATATCTTTTCCTTTTCCCTTTCCATGCCATTTGCTACTGCAGATTTGCCCGGGCTATGAGCACCAACACTATGGTTCTTACCTCCATCAAAGGCACACCACTCTATATGTCTCCAGAGCTGGTGGAAGAGCGACCATATGACCACACAGCAGACCTCTGGTCTGTGGGCTGCATTCTGTATGAACTGGCTGTAGGCACTCCTCCCTTCTATACCACAAGCATCTTTCAGCTGGTTAGCCTCATCCTCAAGGACCCTGTGCGCTGGCCCTCCACCATCAGTTCCTGCTTTAAGGTAATAAAAATTGAAAGGGAAAATAATTTTATATCAGAAAACTGTCTCTGTCTACCTCTATTCCCTTTTCCAAAATCTTTTTCCAGAGCTAGGGCAGGATTTTTCAGGAACTGGGCCAATAAGTCTTGCTTTTCTACTGCAAGGGCTTATGCTGGGCTGGGGGTTGTTCTAAAGCCTGCCAAACTTGGGAGTGGTAGGCCCTGTTTGGAGCAGGATAAGCTTTATCATAATAAAAAAGTAATTTCAAAACCTAAGAAGTAGATACTGGTTCTTTTACATGACCTCTGTTCTACTTATTTTGTATCATACGCAGAGTCCAGGTGATATTTAGATGTTGCCTATGTTGCTTCCAGTCTTCCTCAGACATCAGAATGGCCAGTGTCGGAGCTGGCTCCATGATTAGGGGCAGATGACAGAGGTGGTGCCTGTTCATGGTAGCTAAGTCTCAATGGGTTTTTGGAGGAGGGGAGGAAAAGGCTTTGTACTCTATTTTTTATCTAGGGCAAGATTTTGGATCCTCAATGGAATTTAAGTGCAGTTTTATCCTAGAATAAAATCTCATTATAACTTTCCTATGCTCTATCTAAAATGAAAAGGGACAAATTCCTTTACAACCTGTTCAATTGGGGAGACCCAAATAAGTAGAGAAAAAAAATCTAAACAAAGAAACCTCAGGGGCTGGGGATGTAGCTCAAGCTGTAGCGTGCTCGCCTGGCATGCGTGCGGCCCAGGTTCGATCCTCAGCACCACATACAAACAAAGATGTTGTGTCCACTGAAAACTAAAAAAAATAAATATTAAAAAAAATTATCTCTCTCCCTCTCTTTCTTAAAAAAAAAACAAAAAAAACCTCAAATAGGAGAGATATATACAAAGATAATCATTCTCTCCTATGGTACATTCGCAGGGATCTTTAGCAAAAGCCATAGTTATACAAATCACCTTGTTTTAGAACAGTGGTCATAATCTACTAGTACCTTTTTGTTTCTGGCCCAGTTGAAGATTTTTCCACCAATAATTCATAACATATACTTCTTGAATTATAGTCTCTATTCCCCTCAACCATCTAAAGATTTGCTTTTGAGTGTTCCCAAACATCTCTACACCATTACTGTTTGAGTGTCTTCTTAACTATAGATCTATTTCTATGCAGCCCAAAACAAACCCATAATGAAAGGGAGGCATCAGTCTGGGACTCCCTTGAATGTTTGCTTTCTGAAGATGACTGTGAAGGTGATATCTTCCTCTCAGTTGTTTCTCCCTTCTTCACAAAGTTGGTGACATTGAAATTCTGTACTCATGTCTGAGGGTACAAAATCTCCATGAATAGGGATTGGTGCTCCCTGGGAGGTGAGGCAGTAGTCTGTCTGGAAATGGGGCCCACAGTAACAGTTGTCAAGGTTGTGGTAAAGTCTGTTATTATACCAATAGGAGTTCGGGATTACCAGTTCTGTTGACAGGTTAGAGAGAGTCTAGAAGGAAGGGAAGGAAGAGCTGATGGCGTATTATTTCTCTTCACAGAACTTCCTACAGGGGCTGCTCACCAAGGACCCCCGGCAGCGTCTGTCCTGGCCAGACCTCTTACATCACCCCTTTATTGCTGGTCGTGTCACCAGTGAGTCATCAGGATTCCCAAGGCTCTGGCACCTCCCAGTATTTTTTCCAACCTACCTCTCTGCCCTCAATATCTGGATCCAACATATTATCATTTCTCTACCAGCTTGAGCTTTCTCTTTCTAGCCCTTTGCCTAACTTTGGCCACTCCTGCTCCCTTTTTGTTATTGTCTCAAATGGCTGCCTTCCATAGAAGCCTGGAGACACTGAAGTAGTCTCTGGCCAAGTGGCCATGGTGTCTACAGCCCTAGTATAACCATGTTTTCTCCTGCTCCCTCCCTGCAGTAATAACCGAACCAGCAGGCTCAGAGTCGGGTACCCCATTTACCAGTCGCCTACCCCCAGAACTTCAGGTTCTAAAAGATGAACAGGCCCATCGGCTGGCCCCAAAGGGCAGTCAGTCTCGCATCTTGCGTCAGGCCTGTAAACGCATGGCTGAAGAGGCCAAGCAGAAGGTATGTGAGATACAGAAAAATATGTAACATGTAAAAATATATAACTAACCAGGCTAATCATTGGGGGAATTGGAAAAGGAGGTTGACTTTCTAGGAAATTGGGAAAGGCCATGAGTAAGATCCATACCGTCCTACAGCATCCAGACAGTTCTGGTCCAGTATCTCCTACTCATCTCCCACAGAAACACCACAACACAGAATCTGCCCTTGAGCAAGAGGACAGGAACAACAAGGTGACTCCCAGCACAGTCCCTCTGCCTGGACTACGGGCTACTCCTAAGGAATCAAACCTCCTGGCTGGGATCTTGGCCTCAGAAATGAAGAACAGCTGGGCCGAGTGGGGGGCTGGAGAGGCCCCTCCTACACCTCGGTGAGGGTTGTATAGTGGGAGGAGGTATCTTGTAGATTTTTGGCTTGAGCTAGAATAAATTTAAAATGGTTCCTGTCACTAGCCATTGCCTAAATACAAACCAGCCCTTCAGAATTTGAGTCCGGGGTTGTTGGGTTCTAATTATAGACCTTTTCCTGACTCATTGGGAAAGTTAAGGATTTTCTCTTCTTCATTTCTCACTTGTTCTTTGACTGAAAGGAAAAGGATTATTTCCAACCAAAAACGCAGATTGTTTGAGTTGAAAGCCATAGGTGAAAACTGTAGACTTGAATATAAGATCCAAAGTGGGAGCAGTTAAGGATTTGTGTGTAGAGGTACATATCCTGTACTGGCCATATCCCATACCTGAGAAAAATTCCTCTATCTCCCTCGATGGCTTATACCTCATTCTTTTTCCTGGGTCTAGAGGGAGGGACAAGTTACTGAACTCTGAGCCTCACAGTCTTGGGACTCATCCTACTTCCATCCTGACTTCTGGCAGGGAAAACCACATCACCCCAGGTTGTGAACAAGCATTCCCAGAGCTGAGGTCAGAGGTGGTCGGCCAGCGGAGCATTGATGCAGTGGACCTAGAAAATGAGGTAAGCCTTAGGGTTTCTTCTTAGCCTCATTCCTGCTATGGCATGTTGGGCCCAGGTGGGTGTTTTTCTAGAACAATGATTCTCTTAAGCATGAGCTCCTTTTGTTTTAAAAATTACTTTTATATCAATTTATAGATTTTAATAATAGTATCTGAACATGTAATTCTCAAAGAAGAGAATGCATAGGTAAAATCAAAAGTGCCAAGTTGGGCATGGTAGCACATACCTATAGTTCCATCTACTTGGAAGGCTAAGGCAGAAGGATCACTTGGGCCCAGGAGTTGCCACTATATTGCCAGCCTAAGCAGTATACTGAGACCCCATCTAAAAAAACCAAAACCAAACAAACAAAAACCCTTCTTATATCAGTTCTAGGTGTGACTACTGTTATTAATTTAATCTGTGTCCTTCTAAACTTTCTAACTTTGTATTCACATATGTTCACAAAGGGAAATAGTTTGGCTGTTTACTGAGTTCATCCTATATGTATTGCTTCATATCATGCCTCTTTTACCCTTTGATTTGTTTTAGGGCTTTTTCTACATCATAGCATATATTTCTACCTCAGTCTTTTGTGTTTTATGATTCTAATTTTTTATTTTGAAATCATTTCAACTTAAATATTACTTGTGAGAATACTATGTAGAATTCCCATACATCCTTATCTTGGCCCATTTTGTGAACCAAAATAGAACACCTGAGACTAGATAATTTATAATGAACAGAAATGTATTTTTTTTAAAGAGAGAGTGAGAGAGGAGAGAGAGAGAGAATTTTTTAATATTTATTTTTTAGTTCTCGCCGGACACAACATCTTTGTTTGTATGTGGTGCTGAGGATCGAACCCGGGCCACACACATGCCAGGCGAGCGTGCTACAGCTTGAGCCACGTCCCCAGCCCCAGAAATGTATTTTTTTTTTTAAAGTTGTGGAGGCTGGGAAGTCTAAGATGAAAGTAAGCAGGTTAGGGCTGGGGTTGTGGCTCAGTGGTAGATCGCTTGACTAACACATGTGAGGCCCTGGGTTCGATCCTCAACACCACGTATAAGTAAATAAAATAAAGATATTGTTAAAAAAAAAAAGAAAGAAAGAAAGTAAGCAGGTTAGGGCTCAGTCTTTCTCCTTCTAGCATAGTACTTTGAATGCCACATCCTCCGAAGGTGAGGGATGCTCGAACAGAAGAGATCGAGTGAACCTACTCCCACAAACCTTTTCTATAGCAGCATGAATCCATTAATAGAGGTGGAGCCCTTGTGACCTAAAAACCTTCTATTAGCCCCACCTCCCAACAAATTTTGGGGGGGATTATTTAACACAACCACACACACACACACACATATATATATATATATATATATATATATATATGTATAATGTTGTTGTTGTTGTTTATTACTAGGAATTGAACCCAGGAGTGCTTAACCATTGATCTACATCCCCAGCCCTTTTTATTTTTAATTTTTTAAAATATTTATTTTTTGGTTGTAATTGGACACAATTCCTGGACCAGTTCCTTGGTTTTCTTTGTTTTTTATGACAGTTTTTAAGGTATATGTATATTACCTTTATTTTATTTATTTATTTTTACGTGGTGCTGAGGACTGAACCCAGGGCCTTGAACTTGCTAGGTAAGCATTCTACCACTGAGCCGTAACCCCAGCCCCTTTTTATTTTTTGTTTTCAGACAGGGTCTCACTAAGTTGCTTAGGGCCTTGCTAAGTTGCTGAGGCTGGCTTTGAACTTGTGATCCTCCTGCCTCAGTTTCCCAAGCCACTGGGATTACAGGCATGAACCACCACAGCCAGCAACACAAATATTTTGGAGAGGACAAAGACATTCAAACCATAATCCCCCTTATACCCAGATTCACCAGTCAAAATTTTGTCAAATTTGCTTTACAATTCTCTCTCCATATATGTTTGGATATAGCATCTTTTGAATCATTTTGAAGTAAGTTGCAGATATAGCCCTTCATCCCTAAACAATTATAAGGTCAATCACTTGACTACCACCGTACAAAGAAATTTAATATTGATATGTTATTATAATAATAGTAAATAGATTAATGGACTAATCTACAATTCATATTCTGATTTTGCAAATTGCTCCAGTAATGTATTTTATTAAAAATTTTTCTGTTCTGTGATTCAGTCTAGTATCATACATTGCATTAAATTGTTAATACCTCATTAGTATCCTTTAGTCTGGACCAGTTCCTTGGTTTTCTTTGTTTTTTTATGACAGTTTTAAGGTACATGTATTAGTCTGTTTTTCATTACCTGAGCATGCTAACTTTGTAAAGAAAAGTGGTTTATTTAGCTCATAGGTTTGGAGATTCAAGGGCAAGATACTGGCATTGGCTTTGCTCTGGTGATGATCTCATGGCTGATGGCATCACAACAGGGAGGTGGTATGTGTGGGAGGAAGTGTCACAACTCAAAATAGGAAGCCTGAGAGATTGGGTGAGTCCAGGTTCAGGGTTTTATAACAACTCCCTCTCAAGAACTAATTAGAGTCCCTCAAGAAATACTTAATTCCAGGTTGGGAATATAGCTTAGTGGGAAAATACTTGACTAGTTTACATGGGATCCTCTATTTGATCACCAGCATGGTTCCCCCTCAAAAAAGAAAAAGAAAAAAATATATATATATATGAGAGAGAGAGAGAGAGAGAGAGAGAGAGAGAAATACTTAATCCTTTCTGCAGGCATATCCCCTTCCCACTTGACCTAAAGACCTTATAAGTAGGCCCCATGTCTTAAAAGTCTCACTACCTACTGGTACCACCATGCTGGGACCCAAGCCTCCATTATATGAACTTTGGGGAGAATACACATGTCCAAAGAATAACAGTACATTTATTTTGTAGAATGTTCCTCAAACATTAGATTAGATTAGATTCAGTTTATGCTTTTTTGGCATAAGTAATACATGCTCAGTACTACATTCTTTTCAATAACCTCATAGTATTCACTAGTAGGGATGGATCCCTGGTTGTTTATTTACTGAGTTTATGATGTTTTCATTTTTTATCATTACCAACCATGGACATCCTTCTAGATATTTTTTTGTTTTTCTGGTTTTGTTTTTGTTTTAGTATTAGGGATTGAATTCAGAGTACTTAACCACTGGGTCCTTTTCAGTTTTTATTTTGTGACAGGATCTTGCTAAGTTGCTGAGTGAGGGCCTCATTGAGTTACTAAGGCTGGCCTCAAACTTGATCCTTCTACCTCAGCCTTTTAAGTTGCTGGGATTACAGGTGTGTGCCAGCACACCTGGCTTCTTAGTATCTTCTTATGCACACTTGCCAGTGCTCTCAAAGACTTTTCCAGACCCCTCACATACTGCCCACTACACCCTTTTATGACTGGAGATTGAAGGAGGCACTTGCTGCTTGCAATTACTTCATGATTCCCCCAATTTCTGGCCCCAAGTTGAGAGCATGATCCTGAGACTTATACGCTCCTCTGACCTCTTTCATCCTCCCACCACTTCCCTTGTTCCCCAGGAGCCAGAAAGTGATGATGAGTGGCAACAACTGCTAGAGACCACTGAGCCTGTGCCCATTCAGCTGAAGGCCCCTCTCACCCTGCTGTGTAATCCTGACTTCTGCCAGCGCATCCAGAGTCAGCTGCGTGAAATTGGAGGGCAGGTAATGGGCAGAGGGTACTGTAGGCAGGATTTGGGGCTATTTTCAGAGAGGAAGCATTGAAAAACATCAAAAGGAGAAAGTTTGTCTTTCCCCAGTTCTTCCAGTTTATCTGCATAAATAGAAGAGACTCACTAACCTCCTTTAGTAACACAGAAAGAGAAGGCCTTTTCTGAAGGAAAAAAAATAACTATCTAGAGCAGGCATCAACAAACTTTTTTCGATGGTATATATTTTAGGCATTGTGGGCCAAGAGGCAAAAAATTCATAAGTACTTAATTAAATATTTAAGTATTCATATAATGAAGAAAAACACATTTCCACAAAATATTTATGGACAAGCCTTAAAAACAAAATTGTAACAATTGAATATGCCATATTTTGTACTACAGGTATACTAGTGAGAATGAAGTTCTTTGTTGGGGGGGTAACATTTTTCTTAATTAACATTTGCTTAATTAAAAGTTAGGATTCACTCTTATAAAGCCTTTTTTCCTTATCTGAAACAGTGCTCTCCCTTACTAGGAACTCACCAAAATATGCTGCTTATATTTATTTCCCTTTTTTTTTTTTTTTTTTTGTGGTACCATGGATTGAACCCAGGGCCTCACACATGCTACGCAAATGCTCTACCACTGAACTATATCCTAAGTCCTCCCTCTCTTTTCTTTAAATTTTTTTTTACAACAAATTTATTGAGATCTAATTTATGTGCCACAAAACTTACTGATTTTTAGTATACAATTAATAATTCCAGCAGAGGCAAAAGGATTGCAAGTTTGAAGCCAGCCAGCCTCAGTAATTCAGCAAGGCCCTAAACAACTCAGAGAGACTGTCTCAAAATAAAAAGATATATCTCAGTGGTAAAGCACTCCTGGGTTCACTCCCCAGTACCAAAATAATAACAATTTCAAATTATGAAACTATCATCATATTCCAATTGTAAAACACTTTTATCATCCCATAAGGTTTCTTATACCTATTTTCAGTTAATCACTTTTCCCAGTCCTAGGCAACCATTAAGCTTTCTATCTTATAGGTTGTTTATTCTGGACATTTCACATGATTGGAATTGTATATGATCATTGTGACTGGCATTTTTCACTTAGCATGATGCTTTCAGGTTTATTCATGATGTAGCATGTATTAGGATTTCATTCCTTTGTATTATGTATGAATATTTCATTGTATTGATAGATTACATTTTATTTATCTACCCACCAGTTGATGGATTGTTTTTATTTTTTGAAAACATGGGGTTGTTGCTGCTATAAACATTCTAATCCAGCTGTGTGCTGCTGTATGTTTTTGTTTCCCTTGGCTAGATACTTAGCAATGGAATTGTTGTCATGTAGTAAAAATTTGTTATTTAGCATTTTAAAAAACTGCTGAACCATTTTCCAAAGTGGCAATACCATCTTACATTCCCACCAAAAGCATGTGAGGGTCACAGTTTCTCCATGTTTGCCAACATTTATTATTGTCTGACTTTTTTGATTATACCCAATCTAGTAAGTGTAAAGAACCTCATTGTTATTTTAATTTGCACTCCACTAATGATAAATGATGAATACCTTTTCATGTGCTTATTAGTCATTCGTATATCTTTGGTGAAATATCTGTTCTAATCCTCCATTAATTTTTTTAAATTGATTTGTTTATCTTATGGAGTTGTAAGAATGTGCTATATATTCTGGATATAGGACTTTTACCAGATAAGTGATTTGCAAATATTTTCTTCCAGTGTATGGTTTGTCTTTTTTTTTTTTTCCATCTTATAAGAATGTCTTTCAAATCACCAAGATGTTGAATTTTCTCCTTTTGTTTATTATGCTTTTGATTGTAAGATTATATTGTTTATAAGAAATCTTTTTCAAACTGAATGTCTTGAAGATTTTCTCCTAAAAAGATTTCAACTTATTTCTAAGAGTATAAATTTTACCTCTTACATACATTAAGTTCTCTGACACATTTTGAGTTAATTTTTATTTATGATGTGAGTTAAGAATCTAAGTTTATCTTTTTGCATGTCTATACACAATCCTAGAAGGATTTTTTTGAAAAACAAACAGAAAAACCAAACCAAAACAAAAAAACTGCCCTCTTTGAATTGCCTTGGCATCTTACTCTTGATTTTTGGCAATAACACATTGTTGTCCTATTATTGAATGGTTGCTGGATTTTTAATTTTTTTAAATCAGCATTGACTAAATAATGTTGATTTTAAAAAAATAATCTAGGGCTTTGTATAGGTTAGGCAAGCAATTCTACCACTGAGCCACACCTCCATCCCCTGTTGAACTCTCTGAGTTGGAATTCCAATTCAGCTACTCATTAACTGTGTGGTCTTTGACTATGTATTAATCTGTCTAGAAGCTTCAGATTTCTCATTTAAAATAGATAGTTTGGGGCTGGGATTGTGGCTCAGTTGTAGAGCGCTCTCCTAGCACATGTGAGGCCCTGGGTTTGATTTTCAGCACCACATATAAATAAATAAAATAAAAGTATTGTGTCCACCTACAACTAAAAAAATTAATATTTATATAAAAAATAATAAGATAGATAGTTTGGGCTGGAGTTGTAACTTGATGGAAGAGCACTTGCCTAGCACCTGTGAGGCACTACGTAAAAAATAATAAATAAAATGTGTTCATATAATATAAATAAATTTATAACTAAATCATTTATAACACATATATCATAAATTTAAAAAATAAATGGATAGTTTTAGCCAGGTGTGGAAAACAAGGCAGGAGGATCAAAAGTTTGAGGTCAGCTTTGGCCACTTAGTGAGACCCTATCTCAAAATAAAAAAATTAAAGGCTTGGGATGTATCTCAGTGGTAGAGCATCCCTGGGTTTAATGCCCAATTGGGGCCAGGGGAAGGGATATTTCTATTTACTTTATAGGGTTATTGTAAAGATTGCACAGGAAAATTAATGCCCAAATTTAAAAACAGTGAATGGTATGTTCTAAAACAGCTGTAAATATTATTCCTTTATATTTAAAATTATAATACTGTCCCAAGTTTATAGGCTGTACAAGTAAGTGTTAGGCAAGATTTGGTTGGTAGGCTATAGTTTATGATTTCTTGACCAGAAGTTGAATGACCTTCGGTCTCTTTAAAGTTTAGTAGCATTGTTTTGTGTTTATTGTTTTTTAATTTTCAAAAGTGCTGTTGTGTGCATGTGTGTGGTGTGTGAAGGGCTGGAGAGTGGAGTGGGAGCAGATAGGATTGTTACAGGGCCTGATAGATCCTGAGGGGAATTGCCCTGCCCCTTAGTCTCGGGTGTTCTGTGTCAAGTGACCTGACTATCTATAGTCCTCTTCCTTGGAACAGTCGCCCTCTTTCCTTGCTCTTCTTCCCTGGATTTTAGATTCTAAAAAAGGAAAGCAAATATTTGGCCTACTTTGCCAACTCCTTGAGGACATTTGATATCTGTGACTCTCCTTTTTCGTGTGTGTGTGTGTGTGTGTGTGTGTGTGTGTGTGTGTATTTTAGTTGTAGATGGACAAAATACCTTTATTTTATTTATTTTAATGTGATGCTGAGGATTGAACCCAGTGCCTCACACATGCTAGGCAAGCGCTCTACCACTGAGCCACAACCCCAGTCCCTCTTTATTTTTCTTATGATCCATTTGCCTATTAATTGCTGTCTCTTTCCATCATGTCACCCAGATCCTGAAAGGCACCCTGGAGAATGCTTCCCATATCCTCCCTGCTCTCCGGGTCCTGAGCAGTCTTCTGTCCAGCTGCAGTGACTCTGATCCCTTGTATTCCTTCTGCCAGGAAGCAGGGCTGCCTGAGCTGCTGCTCAGTCTCCTCAGGCACAGCCAGGAGAGCAACATTATACAGCAGGTAAGCACCAGGTCAGGAACTTCTGAAGACTAACAGAAGGTGCTTTTGCTTGGAATTCTGTCCTTTAGGCTTCCAACTGTATTTTCCCTGACTGCCTTTTATTTTATTTTCTCCTTTTTCTAATTAGCACACCATCAATTGCAAATTCTCTGCCCTTCTGGGGCTAGAGAGGAAGTGTCAGTCAGTGAAGTAGGCTAAGTTTATAACTATGTGAGAGGTGGGGAATCTGACAAACCATATTAGACGCCCTCTCTAAATGGACCATCTTCTCCTTGCTCCAGCCTATTGTTGCTATATGAAAATTTGGGCCAGTGTTGCCATATCTTCAAGTTTTCAAGTAGAAATCCAGATTTTTATACATAATTCCTTCATATTTAGAATAAATATGGTTTGAATCATTGGATCCTAGGCTTTACTAATGTGATTTTAGAGGGCAGAGTACTGAAGTTCAGAGGCTAACTCATACTTAGTCATTAATCTATAGATGGTCACAGAAATTATAAGTGGAAGAGCTAGGACTGAGACGCACTGTATTTGGAGCCAAATCTCTACTTGCCTACACTGTCTGCTGCAGCTGAGCTGTGAAGATAGGAGGACCATTATGTCACCCGGAGAGGACAGAGTCAGAGTTTACAGGGCATAGGCTAAGGCAGCTGGCAAGCTGTACTCTGCTGATGAGTATTTGGGGGGATTTTAAGGAATTTTTATGAATTTTTTTTTTTTTTGAAAAATAGAATCTCCTACACTTGAAAAAGACACATTTCAGGCTGTTTATAGTGCACTCACTGGCTGACATTTTGTCACCTCTTGATCTTCTCTCTGCCCATACTTCTTCTCCCCCATCCCTTTCTGTTTGGTCACTTTGGCTGGATTTCTGTAGGCCATTTTTATTTATTTATTTATTTATTTATTTATTTATTTATTTTGGTACTGGAGAGTGAATCCAGGGGTTTAACCACTGAGCCACATCCCTAGCCCTTTTTTGTGTTTTATTTAGAGACAGGGTCTCGTAGAATTACTTAGGACCTCACTAAGTTGCTGAGGCTAGTTTCAACTCATGGTCCTCCTGCCTCAGCCTCCCGAGCTGCTGGGATTACGGGCATGGGCCACCATCCCCAGCTCTTCTGTATGCTCTTCTTTTACTATTTTTTTTTTCTCTTTGCCGCCATCCTCATGTTGTCCTTACTCTCTCTTTTTTTTCCCTCTTCCCTGGCAGCAACCCTGGTATGGGGCCTTCTTACGGGACCTAATGGCTGTGATTCAGGCCTATTTTGCCTGTGCCTTCAATCTGGAGAGGAGCCAGACAGGCGACAGGTGGGATAAAATGCATTTTTGCTCTGCTGACCAGTTTGGCTTCAGTTTCAACTCCATTTCTTCCCCTGCAAATTAGGAAGATGCCAAGTGAAAAGAAGTTGTGATTTGTGACAGAGCTAAGTGGCCCTCAGAGTTAAGCTGTCTCTTAAGGACCTTCAAGCATCTCTAGCTTCACCCCAAGACTTTCAGGTTCTAAGAGTCAGCAGTCACCATGGCCTCTAAGTGGAAAGATCAAGATGTGAAAATGGCAGAAAAGGGGCTTGGAGGCTGTGTGTGTGTGTGTGTATGTGTGTGTGTGTGTGTGTGTGTGTGTGTGTTTATTGGGGGAGACAGGGAACATTCTGTTGTGTTTCTTTGTGGAGATTCTCCTATCAGCCAGATCTGACCCATTCATCACATTGGGGCTTTTAGTAAAAGGATGAGAAGAAACTATGGGTTCATTTTTTTCCCAGCCTACAGGTGTTTCAGGAGGCTGCCAATATCTTTCTGGACCTGTTGGGGAAACTGCTATCTCAGTCAGATTACTCTGAGCAGACATTGAGGAGGGACAGCCTCATGGTAATCTGATCCCACCTCCATATTTCTGTCTCTCCTGTCTTCCTCTGTGTTTCTCTCATCCCTTTTATTATGAGTATAAAGAGGCAGAGCAAGTTAATAAAACAAACATTTGTTAACTCCTACCATATGCCATATGCCTCATGAGTCCCTGCCTTTAAGGGACTAGGAATAGTCAAGAAGGGAAGAGTGAAAAGTACTTTAGAACTTTGTATAAAATACAGATGCTTTGGAAAAGATGCCATTAACATTATTTGGAGGGTTATGGAAGAAATCTTGAAGAAGGAAGTCATCTCTGTTAGGCCTTAATGAACACATAGCAGTTTGCCAGTGGATAAGGCAGGAAAGTAGAGAGAACATTCTAGATAGAAAGAGCAAATTTCTAAAGGCCCAGAGGCATCAAACAACTGGTGTATTTTAGGGGACCACAAATAGAAACATTTCTTCTTGAAGAGACTTATGAATCTTTTAATATTTCCCAACACTAAGGACTAGATAACTATGTGGATTCTCTCCCTGGACCCTGGCAGTCAGGACAAGAGAATAGAGAATTGAATGGGAAGACAGCTAAGTTCTCATGATCTCAGAGGAGATAATTTGAGAAGAGCATGTGCAGGGAAGTAAACAATCTCCTGGTCCTTATTTAAATTGATAGTTAGGTACACAGATCTGGACTATATTTCTGCCTCCAGAGAGCAGTCCATTCAAACTTTTCTAATCTTCTAATTCTAATTTCATATCCCTCACCCTTCCAAGTCAGGAAGTTTTGAATGTCTAACCTAAATTTCAGCCTGCGGTGACACTTGTTATTCACCACTTTTTCTGTCATTGTGCAATGAGTAGCATGAGGAGTTTAAAATAACTATCCCTCCTCCCAAAATTTTGTATCAATAAGATTGGGTTGAGGAGGGAAGTCCCAGGAATCCCTAGGAATTCTACTCATGGTCTGTAGATTACACTTTGATAAATATCGTGTAGGGAAGAGATCAGAAAATAGAAGGATTGGCTGAGACTTGGGGATGGCTCAGTGGTAGAGCGTGTGCTTAGCATGCCAGAGGCCCTGGGCTCCATCTCCAACCAAAGACAGGAAAGAAAGAAGGGGGAGTGGAGGTAGAAGGATTGACACCAAAATCCTTTTCCTTGAAATGGGAAGGCAGTTGTACATTTTCTGTGTAAGGACACCTTAGCATTAGATACCTGCCCCTGGATCTGTATTCTCTCTCCTCATGTTCTCAGGGTACTCTTGGTTCTTACACTCAGCCCAGTCAGTTTTCTGATGCTCTGATGTTACTTCTGCCCTTATATCCTTTAGTGCTTTACTGTCCTGTGTGAAACCATGGATGGGAACAGCCGGGCCATCTCCAAAGTGTTTTACTCCAGCCTGCTGACCACGCAGCGTGCTGTGTTGGATGGGCTCCTTCATGGCTTGACAGTTCCACAGCTCCCTTTCCACACACCCCCAGGTGACCATAGTTGGGAGGGGAAGTTCTCTTTGTTTGTTACATAGAGCTCTGCCATCACCTAGAATAGTGCCAGCCCTTAGTAGGTACTAAAAAATAACTGTGAATTGAAAGAGGGAAGCCACCAGACCTCGCTCCACATCCTTTACTTTTCTCCACAGGAGCCCCACAAGTGAGCCAGCCACTGCGAGAGCAAAGTGAGGATCTGCCTGGAGCCATTGCCTCTGCCCTGGCAGCCATATGCACTGCTCCTGTGGGACTGCCTGGCTGCTGGGAGGCCAAAGAACAGGTCTGAGCTGCAGCTTCCTGCTCCTCCCTTCCCCGCTGACAGAGGAGTTGGGAAGACTGGCCCAAGTTTCTTTGACGGACAGAAAGAGAAGCTTTTAATGCTTCCCCTTGCTGAGGACTTCCAGAAACAGACTCCCACCCACCCTGTTTGAGCTCCTTATAGAATACAATACAGCCAGAATCCCAGAAACTGTGGCCAGCTGGTGATAAAGAAAGCTCAATGATAAGCTATCTGGGTGGTTGGACAGCTGATCGGAAGCCATGGGTAATGCTTCCACAAGGGCTCAGGATTCAGTTTTTCTGTTGCCCTGCCTATATACTGAGGCCAAACTAAGACATGACTTTCATTTCTCCAATTCATGAAGACTGATTCCTATATTCCCCTATTCCTATAAGGGGAATAGGATTGAGTCTTAAAGTATGTTTCCACAGGTTTCTTGGCATTTGGCAAATCAACTGACTGAAGACAGCAGCCAGCTGAGGCCATCCCTCATCTCTGGCCTGCGGCATCCCATCCTGTGCCTACACCTTCTCAAGGTACTTCCCACAACTTCCAGCATCTCAGATTTCTTTTTTAACTCCCAGGACAGAAAAACAGACACAGGGTCTGAGAGAAAGAGTCTGAGAGATCATGAGTCTCCCTTGGAGGACTCCATTCTACCTTTAAATCTATTCAACTGAGGTGACCCCATGTTAGCCATTCCTCTCCAGAACTGAGAAGCATCCCTGTTTGGCTATCAGAAACAAGGGGTAAAGTCCCCTAACACCCCAAGTGTGGGCCCCAGCTCAGTAGAGACTCACCTGGTTTTCAGCTTGGCCTTCCAGTCAAGGAACCTGAGCTGCTCTGCCCACTGATAGATACCTTGCCACTCCTCCAGGTTCTCTACTCCTGCTGCCACATCAGTGAGCGACTGTGCCATATTTTAGGGAAAGAGCCCTTGGCCTTGGAGTCACTGTTGATGTTGGTCCAGGGCAAGGTAAGCTGCCAAAGCAGGTAGGCATATCATAGTGATCCTACCTCACCCAGAAGTGGTTCTGACAGCTCGGGTTTCCTTTTAGGTAAAAGTAGCAGATTGGGAAGAGTCCACTGAAGTGGCCCTCTACCTTCTCTCTCTTCTTGTTTTTCGACTCCAAGATCTGCCTTCTGGGTGAGTCACAAAGTTGGGTCTCTCCACTGGTCTTCTGCCCACACAGCCAACCCTGACACAGAATATTGAGAATAGCACACTTTAGCCTATGCCAAAGGGATGAGAATGAAGTTTTCTTCACAAAGAACAGACCTGCATTCCCATCAACGTAGGGCCTTGGAGGTGGACATACATCCTGTGTGAAGAGCACAGTCCAAGGGAGAGGGAAGGCCACCTTTAACATGCTGTCTCTCTCTATGTATCTCCCTATTCCAGAATGGAGAAGCTAGGCAGTGAGGTTGCTACTCTCTTTACCCACTCACATGTCGTCTCTCTTGTGGTGAGTTTTCAGCCTTCCCCAACCTCTCCCTCTACTCCTATCATCATGACCCTTTTGGGAGTGGGGCAGTCCCTCTCCCATTTGCAGCGTTTTCAGGATATGTTCTATTAGAGCACGACAGAGACACAAATCCTACACCATTCAGATTCAGACAGTCTTCCTCTACCTTTCCTACAGAGTGCAGCAGCCTGTCTGTTGGGACAGCTTGGTCAGCAAGGGGTGTCCTTTGACCTCCAGCCCAGGGAATGGATCACTGCAGCTGCACATGCTCTGTCTGCCCCTGCAGAGGTGAGGCCTACCAGAGAAGGCCCAGACATGTTTTCTCTGAGTCAAATCCTAGGACACCATTCTGGGTGAAAGACTGAAATGCCAGCAAGCCTGGAGAAAACAAAGGAATGGGAAAGGAATCATCCTTTTACCCCAGATAGTAGTCCCCTCTCAATCCAGACTGGTCAGGGCTTCAGATTTCCTATGCAGGGCTTCTAAAGACAGAGGTAGGAACAATACCAATTGACATGATCTAAGGTTTCCTGTCTGCTTTAGCCCCCCAGAAATTCATGTTCTAGTTAGAGTCCTCCTTTTTAAAAAAAAAAAAAAATTTTGTTTTAGTTGTAGTTTGACACAATACTTTTATTTTTATGTGATGCTGAGGATCTAACCCAGCACCCAACACGTGCTAGGGGAGCGCTCTACCGCTGAGCCCCAGCCTCAGCCCTGGAGTCCTTCTTTATGCTTCTTCTCTTCCCCTTCTACAGCAGAGCCCACTCTACTTTTCTTGCTTTCTTAACCGAGATGGAGAAAGGGCTGACACATTCTTCAGGAATCAGTCCATTTGTAGTCTCCTTTCTGCCCTCTTCCTTTTCTAGCCTTTTGTTCTTCATTTTGAGACCCTTTGGAATCCATATTTCCCTCATTTTGTGAAAAGAAGGGTAGACTTCATATTCACATTACTGTCTTATGTTATATATAGAATTCTTTATAATTTATAAAGCACTTTTCACATGTTACAACAAAACACTTGGCAGATAGATATAGGAAATATAGTAATAATCGTCTGCTTTTCCTTGATAAAGTCGACCTTTAGAGAAATCATATAATTACTGATAGCACTAACATTCATCCAGGAGCTTGAGTCAAGACCCTGGAAACCATCTTCCCCATCATTCTCCTTATAAATGGCTCCCCAGTTCCCATGTATTCTTCTTTCTGATTGACATACAGATCCCTTCCCTCCGTGGCACCATCACTGCCTTAGTTTGTATTCACACCATCTCTCTTCTGGTCTTTGGCATTTGCCTAAAGGATCTCTCCTCTCAGACTTTACTGCTGCCAGAGCTTTCTTTCTTTCTTATTTATTTTTATTTTATTTTTTTTAGTTGTAGATGGACACAATACATTTATTTTATTTATTTATTTTTATGTGGTGCTGAGAATCGAACCCAGTGCCTCATATGCTAGGTAAGCATTCTATTAATGAGCTACAACCACAGTCCTGAGTGATCTCTCTTAAAGGAAAATGTGGTCATTCACTCAACCAGTGTTTATTGAACACGTAGATATATATCAAGTGCTCAGCACCATTCCAGACTCTGAGGATATAGAATTGAATAAAAGAGACAAAAAATGTTACTGGTGCAGAGCTCATGTTCATGGTCAGTCGCTTCCCACTGCTTCTGGGACAAAGTCCAGACTCTGTTGCCTGCTGCTGGAAGTTCAAGTATCAGCTCTGGGCTCTATTACCCTCCCTGCTGTACCAAAAGAGTTACAGGAGGTGAAGTTTAAGGCCTACCTACTCTTTTCTTTTGAGGGGGCTGTAGGGTACTAGGGATTGAACTCAGGGGTGCTCTACTACTGCTCTTTTTAAATTTTTTTTTTTTTTTTTTTTAATTTTGAGACAGGGTCTCACTAAGTTACCCATGATGTCCTTGCACTTGCAGTCCTCCTGCCTCAGCCTCCTGAGGAGCGGGAATTATAGGCAAGCCCCATTGCACCTGTCTTTAAAATTTTTAATCCAGAGGCTGAGTTGTGACTCAGTGGTAGAGCTCTCGCCTAGCATGCATGAGGCACTGGGTTTGATCCTCAGCACCACATAAATGTAAATTAAAGATATTGTGTCTACCTAAAACTAAAAAAATAAATAAAGATTTTAATCCATCAGTTTTCTATCCCAAGAGGCAGCATTAGGCACTCTCACCCATGTCCCTAACCTCTTGTTTAGTAAGTATCTTTCTAACTATAGTTGCTTTTTTGTCTGCTTACCCTACCAGACTCTATATTTATGACACACACTTAATAGAATAGACAGGACCAAGACTCCTAAATCCAGAAGAACTCTTCCCACTCTGCCAGACTCAGGAAGAACTTTCCCACTTACTGGGGATTGGGTGCATAGGCCTAAGGGCAAACTCATCCCTTTTAGGGATCTGCATTCTTCTTGCTCTCTCCAACAGGTTCGGCTGACTCCGCCAGATAGCTGTGGGTTCTATGATGGCCTCCTCATCCTTCTGCTACAGCTCCTCACCCAAGTACAGGTGTATCTTAGGATGGATGAAAAGAAGAGAGAGAAATTGGGCATTCTGGGAGCCACTGGATAGAAAGAAGCAAACATACTTGCCTTTCCTCTCAAACTACCATACCTACCATAGCCTGAGAATTGCCCCACTTGCCATCAGTAGGGCCCTTTAAAGGAAACCATTCAGCTGTATCCCTGGGATCCAATGGGGAAATAACAAACTTTCTTGTTTTGTTTTGGGTTCTGGGAATTGAACCCAGGGGCATTTTACCACTAAACTACATCCCTAATACTTTTTATTTTTTTTATCTTGAGACAGGGTCTTGGCACAGTTGCTGAGGCTGGCCTCAAACTTGTAATCCTTCTGCTTCAACTTCCCACATTGCTGGGATTACAAGTGTGCACCACTACACCTGGCTGTTGTTTTATTGATATTTAAAACTTTTTATTTTATAGACCTGTGCATCACTTGGCCTTGGTGCAAGCCAGCCCCAATAGGGCAATGCTTTGGTTTTTAGCTGACACACATGTGGGTTGATAGGTCAGGAGGTTAAGGTGTGATAAGAAAGGAAAATAAGACAACATAAATTCTAAGTAGGAAGATGTGGAATTATTTCTCTCTCCCTCTTTTTTTTTTTTTTTTTTTTTTTGTACTGGGTGTTGAACCCAGGGATACTTTGCTGCTGGGCTACATCCCCAGATTTTTTATTATTTTTATTTTTTGAGGCAGGGTCTTGCTAAGTTGCTGAAGCTGACTTTGAATTGAGATCCTCCTGCCTCCTGACTTGAGACTCCCTTTCCTTTTAGATCAGGGTCAAGAATGAAAAAAGGTAATGGACTTCTAACTTCTGCCTCCCCCATCACTCTTTCACTTTTACCTCCAGCAAGGAAAGACTAGCCTGATCAGGGATGTGGCTAGCTCAGAAATGTGGACCATTTTGTGGCACCGTTTCTCCATGGCCCTGAGGCTACCTGAGGAGGTAGGAACACAGGAAGAGGAACTGTCACTATCCAATCCATCCATCCCTGAGCCAGACTGGACGCTGATCTCACCCCAAGGTATCTTTCTGTTAGCATAGCCTCCTCTGTGAGGCCAGTGTATGGGTCCCTTTTCAAGTGGATTGAGTCTGGAACTGGGTTAACCACAGAGACTGCTGCTGCTGCTGCTGTTGTTATGGGGGAGACAGCAGTTTTCAATAGAGCTGTTCAAGGATGGAGAGGGACTGAATAGGTGATGGTCCTGGGAGCCATGGGGAAAAGGGCAGCAAGGTCTCTTGCGTGCTTCACTAGGTCTTCTTTCTCCATGTTTTCAGGCATAGCAGCCCTGCTGAGCCTGGCCATGGCCACCTTTACTCAGGAGCCCCAGTTATGCCTGAACCACCTGTCCCAGCGTGGAAGTCTTCTTATGTCCACCCTGAAGCACCTTCTTTCTCCCAGCTTCTTGCATCACCTGAGTCAGGCGTGAGTCTGAGCTAGAAGAAGGAGGAGAGAAGATCCAGAATTAGCAATAGGAAGGTGGTGGCTGGGAGTGCAGGAGAGAGGGAGCTGACAGCTTGAGTTACAAGACCAGAAATGGGATAAGGATTAGTCCGGAAACCTAAGGAGTTGCTGAGGTTGGGGACAGGGTGCTGGGGAAGGAAACTTGAGGTATGGGGTGGAAGTATCATAAAGGATAGGTGAGCAAGACCAAGTATATTGTACACTCTTCTCCTTAGGCCTCACGGGGCTGAGTTTCTGCCTGTTGTGGCGGTCTCTGTCTGCCAGCTCCTCTGCTTTCCCTTTGCCCTGGATGTGGATGCTGACCTCCTCGTAGGTATCTTGGCTGACCTAAGGGACTCAGAAGTTGCAGCCAACCTGCTGCAGGTATTTGGGAAGCTACCAGGTGTGAAGATGGGGCAGGAATATGGCCAGTCTTGTGTTCTCTAATTCACTTCCCAATAGGTCCAGGGTTCTCCAGGCTTGACCTAAGAGTTGGAACTGAGGAGAGACTCAGGCCTGAAGAGAGGCATATGGTTGGAGCTGGGCTAGTGTTTTCTTCTCTCTGACATTCTCTCATCTGGTTCAGTGGGGCAATCATCCTAGTCCAGACTCTAGGGGCTCAGCTTCTTGACCTGGAACCCATTCCCTGGCAGTTCTTGGCATTACCCCCATAGGTCTTTGGATGCAGAGACCCAGTCCTTAGAGAGCAAGGGGTGTGTTCTTGGAAAGAACCTGCCCCCTTGGGCTCCACCTGAGTTCCATGTGGTGTGCCATGGGTCAGGACTTAAGCTTCATTCTCTCTTCAGCTTGGCTTTTCTCTCCCCCAGCTTTTGGGTCCCTACTTCCTAGCTACGGTGTACTTCTCCCTCAGGTTGAGCTCCTTTTTCCCACTCTCCCCACTCCCCCAGGTCTGCTGCCACTATCTTCCATTGTCACAAGTCGAGCTGCCCATCAGCCTCCTTACACGCCTGGCCCTCACGGATCCCACTGCTCTCAACCAGTTTGTGAACACAGTGGCAGCCTCCCCTAGAGCTATCATTCCATTCCTCTCTGTTGTCCTCCTGAGTGACCTGCCACTGCTGACCTCTGACCTTCTCTCCCTACTGGCCCACACAGCCCGGGTACTGTCTCCCAGCCACTTGTCCTTTATCCAAGAGCTCCTGGCTGGCTCTGATGAATCCTATAGGCCCCTGCGAAGTCTCCTGGGCCACCCAGAGAACTCTGTGCGGGCCCGTACTTATGGACTCCTAGGACACTTGCTCCAACACAGCATGGCCCTGCGTGGAGCACTACAGAGCCAGGCTGGACTGCTTAATCTTCTGCTCCTGGGGCTTGGAGATGAAGACCCTGCTGTGCGGCGCAGTGCCAGCTTTGCTGTGGGCAATGCAGCCTATCAGGCTGGTCCCCTCGGACCTGCCCTGGCAGCTGCCGTGCCCAGTATGACCCAGTTGCTTGGAGATCCTCAGGCTGGGATCCGGCGCAATGCCGTATCAGCTCTGGGCAACTTGGGACCTGAGGGGTTGGGGGAGGAGTTGTTACAGTGCCAAGTACCCCAGCGGCTCCTGGAGATGGCATGTGGAGACCCTCAGCTGAATGTGAAGGAGGCTGCCCTCGTTGCCCTCCGGAGCCTCCGACAGGAGCCCTGCATCCATCAGGTACATCCCAGGGGACTTTTGAGCCATGATGATCAGGGCCTCTATAGTTCACACCAGTTCTCTGAGATAGTCTGTAAGGAACTGGGACATCTAGAAATCTAAGCTATTACTCCAAGGATGCCGGAAACTCAGGGACAAAGCCTTGGAGATGAGTTTTCCATTTACCATCTCACACTCTTGAGAAGGGAAAGGAGCTAGAAGAGGGCTTCACTGGGCTAGGACATGCCTGAGATCTCAAGGTCCACAGTTTATCTCTTCCAGAGGCTTGGGTGGAGGGAGAAGATAAGAAGATGTTGAGGCCACGAAGATACCAACTATCTTTTTAGTAGCATGCTAAGCATTTTTCCTTTGTTGACTGGTTTAAGTTATTATTATCCTCATTTTGCAGGGGAGGAAACTGAGGCACAAATAATTTAGTAATTTTTCCAAGTTACAGAGCCAGCAGGTAGGGTTGGGCTTGTGATCTCAGAAGTCTGGGTCCAGAGCCCATATTTTTTTTTTTTTTTTTTTGGTTCTGCAGGTTGAACCCAGGGGCACTCTGCAACTGAGCTACCATCCTCAGCCCTTTTATATATTTTATTTAGAGACAGGGTCTCTCTGAGTTGCTTAGGGCCTCACTAAGTTACTGAGGCTGGCTTTGAGCTTGCGGTCCTCCTGCCTCAGCCTTCCGAGCCACTGGGATTAGAGGCATGTGTCACCAGAGCCCATACTCTTTTTTTTTAATATTTATTTTTTTGGACACAGTGCCTTTATTTTATTTACTTATTTTTTATGTAGTACTAAGGCTCTAACCTAGGACCTCGCATGTGCTAGGCGAGCGCTCTATTGCTGAGCTACCACCCCAGCCCCTAGAGCCCATACTCTTAACCACTGTTTTATTCTGCTGTGTCTGCTCAGTTTTCAGTATATAAGGAACCCAGTGGAAATTTCACAACTGCCTACGATAACATAAATTATAGTAGCTCAGTGTGATAGCATTGGGTACTTCATGCAGAACAGAAATTTGACAGGGTGGTGTGATATTATAGGAGTTTCTGGCAATCCATGTGAGGAAATAATAAAAAGGTTTCTTGGCTGGGAATGAGGGATTAGCTTGGGACTAACTGATCTGGATCCAAAGCTGGGAATCAGACTTTGCTGCTCACTGTCAGTCAGTGCTACATTCATTATCTCTTCTGGGGGACAAGTGGATGGGTCCCTTGGTTCCTTGGCTTTAAGGTCTGCAACCAAAGAGAATGGAAGTAAATCCCTAGTCCTGATGATTCCTGTCTCCAAGGTTTTTCTTCCCCCATTCAGTCTATCCAAGTCCCCAAAAGCCCATCTCCTTTTTCTTCCTTTGGGATGGGCATTATAGGACTAAATGAGAGTCCTCTGCCTGTGCCCCAAACACAACTGGTTCTAAGCCTCCCATCCTATTCTGTCATCTACTCTCTGTCCTACAGGTGTTGGTGTCCCTGGGTGCCAGTGAGAAATTAGCCTTGCTCTCTCTGGGGAATCAGTTACTGCCACATAGCAGTCCCAGACCTGCCTCTGCCAGGCACTGCAGGAAACTCATCCATCTCCTAAGGCCAACACACAACACATGATCTCAGATTCGTGGGATCCAGCCTCCAGCCTTTGTTGCCCTGCTATTGCCAAGTCTTCCTTATTCTCCTACATAAGCCGTCAATTCAACTGAGAGCTGAAGAGACTGAAGAAGAGTGATAAGCTGCCAATTCACTTGAGAGTGAGAAATGAGAGGAGATTTATGTATAAAGCTCTTTCCTTCCCCCAGATTCAGAATGATTTCAGCCAGTAAACTTCGCTACTGCTGGTGCCAGAGAAGATTCCTTTCTTCTCTGTGTCCAGGGTCTTTTTCCAATAATGTGCCTTGAACTTCAGGAGTGTGCCTCCCAGACTTTAGGGAAATATACCTCACCTGTCCCATCTCCCCCTTTCTGGAGCTACTGTAATCCTCCCATGATTGTGCTTTAGGTATACTGGCTTCTGTCTCAGCTCTAGGCTAAGGGGGATAAATGCCATCAGCCCCTGTTGTTGAGGGGTTCCTAGCCCTTAGGCCACATTCCTTCCATGGGTGGGGGTTGGGCAGTATATCTTTTTTTAATTGTAATTCTGTTTGTAAACTCTTTTAATAAAAAATGTACCTCACCCTACTTGGAGCTCCCAGGGTAAGGGGTTGGGAGGCTCAGCCCACCCTTTGGCTTCTACAGGGTGCAGAAGCCCTGTTGTTCTGTACTCACGGGATCCTGATTTGGGGGTTTGAATCTTCTCTAGCTTTCTGGCTTTCTCCATTCTAGATGAGACAAATGTGGTTGCCTACTTTTAAACTAAGGCCAGTGGAGCTAAAATAGGAAAGAATAAGATTTAACAAGTAAATTGGATTGCTTTGAGATCTCAGATGTTAGTTTGGATATTTAGCACAGTTTCAGTGTCTAGGGAAGCCTGGTAGCTTTAGGAGTGTAGCTATTTAAAAAGGGGTGTTTGGCAGACCCGTTAGAATTATAATTTAACTGAACATATATTGGGAAGTTTAAACCTGACTTATTGAATGACTTAGGACAAGCTTTCAGGGCCCTGATTTCTCCATCCCCAAAATAGGGAGACTCCTTTCTGTCCTTCCTTAAATTACAGGGTTTTTTTAGTTTTGTCTCGTTTTATTTTATTTTTTTTAGAAATGACGGATGAGTAAGATGTGCTCATTTATAAGGAATTTTATGGTGTCCTCAACTTCACTGACTACTGTGTTTACACTTTAACAAAAATAACAGAGGAATGATGTTTTCTTAGACTGGGGTGGATGGTAAAAATTGAGATGACCTCAATTATGTGCTATCCAGATCATTTAAATTCAATCTATATTTATTGATTCCTTTTTTATGTTAGATCCTGTTCAAAACAGTGGAGATAGAGTTTCCATTCTGGTGGGGGACATAGGGAATTTATTAAAGTAAGTGAATTAAAGCCAGACTTGGTAGCACATGCCTATAGTTCCCCTAATCAGAGGCTAAGGCAGGAGGATTAATTGGACCCAGGAGTTGAGACCAACCTGAGCAACACAGCAAGACCTCATCTCCAAACAGGAGAAAAATTGTGTGTGTGTGTGTGTTTGAGGGCTGGGGTTATGGCTCAGAGGTAGAGCGCTTGCCTAGCATGAGTGGAGCACTGGGTTCAATCCTCAGCACCACATAAATAAAAAATAAAGATATTGTGTCCAACTATAACTAAAAAAATAAATATTAAAAATGCTGGGGATGTGGCTCAAGCGGTAGCGCGCTCGCCTGGCATGCGTGTAGCCCGGGTTCGATCCTCAGCACCACATACAAAGCAAAGATGTTGTGTCAGCCGAAAACTAAAAAAATTTTTTAAAAAAATGTATATGTATGAATTAGATATACAAATAAAAAATTGATAAAAGCTCTAGAGAGAAAGCAGGGAAAGAAAGGGGTTTGAGGAGTGCTAAGTTGGGTGGTCAGGGTAGATCTCATTGGAAGGTAAATTGTTTTTGTCAGTGCCAATGATCAAACCTAGGGCCCTGCACATACTAGGCAAGCACTCTACTGCTAATCTACATCCCCAGTCCTAGCTTTTTTTATTGTTTATTGTTGTTGTTTGAGATGATTCTCATTAGGTTGCCCCCAGACTGGTCTCAAACTCATGGGCTCAAGGGCCTCACTTCTTAAGAACTGAGACTGCAGGCATGCATCACCCAACTGAACATTAGATGGTGAATTTGAACAGACACTCAATGAAGTAAAGTGAGCAATGGAGCTAGCTATCTGAGGGAAACACCTAGGTAGAGAGAATGATCACTTCAAAGGCCCAAAGATGGAAGTCTGCTTGTCACGCTTAAAGAGCTATGAGGGGGCTGGGGATATGGCTCAAGCGGTAGCGCGCTCATCTGGCATGCGTGGGGCCCGGGCTCAATCCTCAGCACCACATACAAACAAAGATGTTGTGTCTGCCAAAAACTAAAAAATAAATATTAAAAAATTCTCTCTCTCTCTCTCTCTCTCTCTCTCTCTCTCTCTCAAAAAGAGCTATGAGGGAGCCAGTTTGGATAGAGAGAAGGATGGAGAGGAGAAGAAACGGAAGAAAGGAAGATGATAATGGAGCCAGATGTTATAGGTTTAACTGAACTTGGTGAAGAGTTGAGGTTTTACTCTGCACTAAGGATCTAATGAGTTTCTTCTCCAGAGGAGTGATGCTTTCTTAGACTGGGGTGGATGGTAAAAATTACCCAAATTTTGAATATATTTTGAACACGGAGCAAATTGGATTTCTTAGTAGTTGATTGGATGTTGGACATGTGACCAAAGGAAAGGCAGACATGGATGATTCAAAGTTTTGTTTTTTTTAAAAATATATTTTTAGATGTTGATAGACCTTTATTTTATTTATTTATATGTGGTGCTGAGAATTGAACCCAGTGCCTCACACATGCCAGGCAAGTGTGCTATCGCTGAGCCATAGCCACAGCCTTCCAAGTTTTTTGGCCTGAGAAATTGGAAGGATGAAATTGCCATGGATTGAAATGGGGAAGACCACCAGTAATGAGTAGGAAGATTCAATTTAAGTTAGGGACTTACTATGTTCTTTTAGTAAGAAATTTTCAAATGCACAGGAAAGTAGAGAGATTAGATCAATGAACCTAATCACCACTTGAAAAGATACCCATTTATTCTTTCATTACTCAGGTATTTTAAAACAAATCCTGGGCAACCTAATGTTACCCATAAGTATATATTTACATATCTAACAGATCAGGACTTTTGTTTTTAACAAAACTACAGTATTAAACCGTACTTGACAGAAACTAACTTGATTAATATTAAATATCTGACTTTAGTATTCCTTGACTTAGAGTTAGTTTGTTCAAATGCCAGATCTAAACAAGGTCCACTCATTGTGTTTGGTTGACTTGCTTGCAAGACTTAATATATTTTATTGAAAAAACCAGATCATTTGACCACCAGAATTTCCCACATTAGAGTTGGCTGATAATATATTGGGATGTCACTTTTTCTGTTCCAGTATTGAAACAGAATAAATCTGGGGGGCCTCTCTGAAATTAAAAACTTCCTCATGTAGCTAGTAGAAACTGAGGGGGCTGCCTCCAGTGGCCTGACAGGCTCTTAGGGAGCTAAAAGTGGAGATTGCCCCCTCCTCAGGCCTGTGTAGCAGCAGGCTAACAAAATTTGCATATATACATTTCCTGTCTTTGGTCTCACTTCCCTGCCTCTTCTTTTTAAAAGCTTTGCTCACCTTCAGAGATTTCAAAGATGGAACTTTTGAAACAATTTCCTCTATATTCCTTCAAAGCTGGCTTTTTTCCTACCAATCTGACTGAATATTTCTGGAGCAGCTAGAGCTTTTAGCCTAACTTCACCCCAGCCCCTCAGACTGTATTGGCATTACAAAGTAACAGTTTCACTTTCTTTAAATATGTAAATATATCCTGGGGCAATGGCACATTTTTGTAATCCCAGACTTTGGAGGCTGAGGCAGGATGATCACAAGTTTGAGGCCAGCATCAGCAACTTGTGAGACCTATTTCAAAATAAAAAATAAAACGGGCTGGAGGTGCAGCTCAGTGGTAGAGCACCGCCCAGGACTGGATCCCCAGTAAGAGGGGGGGAAAAAAAGAATTCTATTGGTTGTTGAATCTTGAATATGGGCCATTGAATCTAGATAGATGATGACATTAGAATCACTTTTCCTTTTGAAAATTCCCTTGCACAGATCTGCAGTATCTATTTCTTGATCAGGATCTAGGCAACCATTAACCCATCTCTGATTTGGGCAAATATAGTATTTTAAAACTTGTATGTTGTTCCTAAAAGATAAGTTAGGGGAAATAATTATTTTTATTTTTATTTTATTTATTTA